TTCTTTCTACACGTCTACATTCCGGACCACCAACAACCTTTTCTACTTGAACACTACTGAAAAAAGTCGCAGTAAAGCTCTATTTTTGTACTGTTTTGTAAAGAAAAAGCTCAAGAAACGCCAGCCAAAATGGAGTCTCAAGTGCGTCAGAACTACCACCGCGACTGCGAGGCCGCCATCAACCGGATGGTCAACATGGAGATGTTTGCTTCTTACAACTACACTTCCATGGTAAGAAACACTGTTGTTGTATATACATGTTTATATGACTTATTTAGAACAGTAATTGGGCATTTCAATATTAGCTTGCTGTTTGTGCATTTCTCAGTTGTTTATCTCTGACTGGCAGACTGCCTGATAAAGAGTATTTAGCCTCCACCCATCTCGCTGAAAAACTGCTGTGTCATGCTTATGCTGCTTGTTATGTATTTTTCTAACCTTCATTGTCCTATAACTAAACCGGCTAGAAGTCATGACTCATGTGCCTGACCACCGCCTGGCTGCAGAACCACTGTTTGTCACAATGTTTTTGGCCATATAATGATGGGTGACGTCTCCTAATCACTGTTTTTGTCCTCCTGTCCCTCACAGGCCTTCTACTTCTCACGTGACGATGTGGCTCTTCCAGGCTTCTCCCATTTCTTCAAGGAGAACAGCGACGAGGAGAGGGAGCACGCTCAGAAGCTGCTGTCCTTCCAGAACAACAGAGGAGGACGCATCTTCCTCCAGGATATCAAGGTCAGTACAGAACGGAGAACCTGCCCCGTTCTTGCGCGTCTCACCGCACCTTGTGTCCAGGACAGACAAACTGGGATTGATCTGCTGTGTTGTGACACTCCAATTTGCCACTATCCAGTTTTAGTAGCAGTCTACTTTACAATTTATACATCATCCTTTGATACGTCAGGCCTGAATTTAATTATTTCCTCAGTAAACATTATCAGATGCCAGAGCTAAGCCTCTGAGCTTGTTATGAGACAGAGGCTGATGGGTCGCAGTGGTACTGGTGACTCCGATCGCTGTGTAAACAAGGTTTAATGAGTGTTCAGTCTGCTATAATTGACTGTTTCTCTTCCTCAGAAACCGGAGCGTGATGAGTGGGGGAGTGGGCTGGAGGCCATGCAGTGCGCCCTGCAGCTGGAGAAGAACGTCAACCAGGCTTTGCTGGACCTGCACAAGCTGGCCTCTGAGCACGGAGACCCACATGTAAGTAATAATATTAATCCAGGGAGAGGTTTGCAGACCATGTCCTGGGCTAAACCTTTTGAAATCTTGTCTTTACCAAACCAACGATTGCTCTCTCGTCCTCAGCTGTGCGACTTCCTGGAGACCCACTACCTGAACGAGCAGGTGGAGGCCATCAAGAAGCTGGGAGACTACATTTCCAACCTCAGCCGCATGGACGCCCACACAAACAAGATGGCGGAGTACCTGTTTGACAAGCACTCCCTGGGGGGAAAGAGCTAAATGCAGAGTCCCAGGATGAAAATCCTAATAACACACAGGCTTTAACATAAACACGGCCTTCTGCTCCAGCTGTTCACTCTCTGAGCGTAACTCTATCTAATCTGCTGACCTATGAAGTTGATGATTTCTCGTCTGTTCTGGTGGTGTTGCTGGTTTTTAATGTCCTATAGAAGGATGGATATTAATCGGGTTGTGGCTTTGCCCTCATTGCCTGTATGCCTCCTCCTGTGACATTTTTAACAATTGTGACTGTTTCTGATCTGTTAATCTGAATAAAAATTTTGAGCTGGACTCTGGTGTCTGTCTGCATTTGTCACATGACCTGTTCATACTGACCTAAAAGTTGTAGGTAACGTTAACACGATAGATCATGGACCCAGGTAGCTAGTTTTTAAAAGGGACGTCTTGTCTTTGTACATTTGGAAATAGAAAATTGTTCTTATAGCTCAGATCAGCCAAATCGTAAGGTATTCAACTTGTATAACTTTGTCCCTGTGCCTGTTAAAATCAACACTTGTTATACCCACAACAAATCCCATTAATCACCAGAACTTGACAGACTGGTTCCAACAGCAGGGTAGGGACCTGTATTTTTCGCTGTCCCAGCCCATCTCCTCTGGATAAGTGATGGTCACCAAGCATACAACAGTGTATAGGTGGTTAGAATATGTCTACCTTTGACAGATTATGGTGTTACAGGCTAACATCCTCTCTCTGTGTATGCTGTTGCTGTTCATTTAAAACAGCTGTGTATGGAAATACTCAGTTATAAATAAAGGTCATGCATTCAAAATTAAGTACAGAAGTATTTGCCCCCAAATAAAAATAATGCAAAGTAGCCAAATTCAGAGTAATATATTATTGCATTATAATTATTGATGCATTAATGTGTTCATCACTTTAATGTTGCAGCTGGTAAAGGTGGTCAATTTCCCCCTCCTCCTGGGTTAACTAAAGTCTTATATTACCTCAACATACAATAATATATCATTGACTTCATTATATTTTATATTATTAAACACAATCTGCACAGTATCTGGTACCTTAAGTTATCAAATAAATGTAGTGCAGTAAAAAGTACAATATTTGCCTTTACTTTCCACCACTGGACAAATGAGACGTGATGTTTAATTTGCTGTGTAAGCCCAGATATGTTGGCTTTACTTTAAGAATCTGAGGAAAACTGGTTGCCTTAAAAAGAAAAGTATTGTGAAAACTTGAGTGAATTTAACTTAAATTCTTCAAGGGCTGGAAGACTCCAAGTCCAAATTATTTGTACTTAAAGTCTGCAGTAAAATCACCTATTCCCTAAAAATGACATAAGAGCAATTAAATGTTTGTTGTTGACATATACATACTAAAGAGTTGATGAAAAGTTTCCATTGCAGGGCGGCCCTACACTGAACTCACTGCTATAGTTCAGCATCACCCATTGAATAAAGTTAAAATGCCGTCCATAAATTGGAGTTTATAAATCAGGCCACTTTGCCTGAGGTCATCCATGATTGCCTAATATCACAAATCGCAAAATCAAATGTTCCTCAGGGGTGTTTACAGCATAGCCTCTATTCATAGACCATTTTATGATGATGCTAATGAGTGGAACAATAATCTAATATAAAGCTCTTTAATGGTCAACATGCTGTACTATGTAATAGTATATCTTAAGTGGTGTGGTGAGTTTTTGAGACATTTTTTTAATATTCAGTTCAATTCAAAAGGGGCTTGATTGGCATGGGAAACAGTGTGGAATAAAAACAACTAAAACGTACATAAAGAGAAGAAGTGTGGTATTGTTTTTAGAAATATATAGTATACATACAGACAAGCCACCAAATGCTTAAAATAAAAAAAATCTATCTAGACTTTAGACTAAAGTTTAAAAAGATATAAATACAAATAAGTGAGAACTATGGAACCACTGCAACATGCCTCGAAATTAATTTGTATTTAAAATATATTAGTTTTGTGTGTGTCTATGTCCAGTGTTGTTTTGTATGTACTGTAATACACTATGGCCATCTGCTGGAGAAGCTCCGTACTGCACTCTGAGACCAGGACAATTGGTGTTATAGACAGGATTAGGAGGGTTACTTTAAAAAATGTATTCTGACACAGTAAAATGACCTGTTAAAAATGTAGTCAGTAATCTAAGTATCACAATTTTAAAGTAAATTGATTACTTTCCCTTACTTTTGGATTACCTCAACAACAAATATGCAAAAAAGAGTAGAAATATCAATAATAAGTATTAATGCAGGTGTATTTTATAAAACAACAGAACAATGTGACCTTGGAAAAGAAAATGGAAACTGAGATTTTTTGTATTAAAAATGTTTCCTCTGTATTTTAAAACTGTAATCCTGTTAAATAATCGCAATTTTTACTAAATGTAACTGTAATCTGATTACATCTTTTTGTCTGTATTGGATTACCTTTTTTGGTATCCTTAGCTACATGTAATCCGTTACTCCCCAGGCCTGGTTATAGACATTCTTTCTGTTTCACCGTATCCTAACGGTAGCCCAAAGAGTTTTGGAATTAGAGTCCGTTTATAACTTTAAAAATGTGGCGTGCAGGTTTCCTATGACTGAACCATCATTGTCCAGAGTGATGAAGCCAACTATGACCAACTTCTATCAGCTCCAATCACAGAAGAGGTAGTTTACAGAAGATGTTGACTCATGCTCTCTTTAATTCAGTTCATTTCTGGAATATAGTTCAATAATTTAAAGGCCCAGTGTGTAACCTTGAGGATGATCTATTGCTAGAAAAATAATATAATATACATTGGTATGTTTTCATTAGTGTATAATCACCCACCTGAATGTAGGAATTTAAACCACTGGTACACGACCTAGTGGTCCTGACCCCCCACTAGGGGTCGCCAAAGCTTTGCAGAGGGTCGCGAGTCTTCTTGATTTTAAGGGGTGTAAGAAAACTTTTTGTAAAAATATACATTCCTTCTGTATATGTTATTCATTTCTGTGAAGAAAACTAATGACACTGTTATTTTTATAGTTTAAATTATTATTTATGATGTAACATTTTTTTTTTTTAAATCTCACAGGATAAGGGCACGGTGACGATCTGAACACAAGCTATATTCACAGAGCCTTCACTCTCTAATAAACAGCCTCATCCTACATTAGAAAAGTACGTTGTTAAAACAACCAAAGAGCTGATAGAACAATGAGAAGAAATCAGAGAATATAATAATATCATTTAGTCTGGTAGTTGTGGAGTTCACACATCTCATAATTAAGTTAAAAAAATCTCCTTAATGGTATTTAATTCACTTATCCAACAGTATCTGACATGTTGTGCCACAATACAGAACACATTCCTCAATGATTTGGAAAGAAATACAATTTAAAGCCACAGTGTTGGACGAATTGGCTCTTGAAGACAGACTTTTTTTTGCAGTGGAGGTGGACAGTAAGTAGTTGGCAGTGAGGGATATTGTGGAGATTAACAGAAGGGGGGAGGGGGGAGAGAGAGAGAGAGAGAGAGAGAGAGAGAGAGAGAGGGATGGAGTTATGTGCAAGGACTTCTCATCAGTCAGTCAGCGGTGGTGGATTTGTCTAAAGGACATTTGGATGCAAAACAATAAAACAGAATAAAAGCCAAAGAACCGAGGGACTGACTAAACAGGGTAAGTCGTGCTGTTTTCACTTTGAATTATAATTAATTTCAGAGTTATTAGTTCATTTGTAAATTCATGCTAAATAGTTGTTTTAAAATAGTTTATTCCAGACAGTCAAAACACTTGAGATATTCAATTTACAGTGAATGGAAACAGAAAAGCCAGCTAACCTTTCCAGCTGTCTCCAGCTTGTTAACCATTTGATAAACTACAAACAACAACAACAACAACAACAACAACAAAATGTTTGGCGCTTTTACTTAAAAATTATCATGAAACTTGTCAGCAATAATCTTCTGTAGATCCATTAATGTCTAACTTCAGCTGCAGTGTGTTTGCCTCACTCTGTCTTTCGCCGTGTATTTTAGTTGTGCTGTAAGTCTGTTAATAAGCAGCTATGGTCACAGGAAAGTTAATGTTAATTTATTGGATTTACACTTTATTGCTTATTTCTATGGTGCTCTTTATCTTTTAATGACTGCATTTCACCAGGAAGGTTCCTGCATGAAAGAAACATTTGATTTTACTCATAGTGGAGGATACTTTACAAAACTGGGAAAGATTAGTTTAAGTGGATTATAGGAGGCTAATGCTCGTCTATTTGCAGAGTGTTCATGTGCAATCGCTTGCAATACACCTCCACAATACCTGTTCACCTCAACAGGCTGAATGAAGTTTCTGACATTGTAATTATATTATAACCCTTTAAATCCTGTAACTTGATGATGGGAGGATGAGTAGGATGAATGGACCCTGGGTGCTTGTTTTCATCTTGCACACAGGCTACTGCAGACAGAGTTTCTAAGCTAATCTACAGCAAACTGTAGGACCCGTATCTTAACTGCAGTAGAGCTTTGACGGTCCGCCTGAACCCGATTGGACCCGACATAACCCGTTGGATTCTGGCCCAAAACTGCAGTCGTTTGTCAGGCTTGGGTGGAAAGAATTATGTTTTTAATTTTTTTTTTTTGTAATAGAACTGTAATCAACTGTTTTATTTATTTGTTTTCATAAAAAGATGTACTATATTATATGCACAATGTAGTTTCATTTAGGTTGTAATAAATTATTTAAAATTATCCTAATTTCTGAGGACACCACAGGTCAAGTCATGCTGCCAGATATAGGGATTATAAAAGCAGTATTACAGTATCTATAGAAACATAAAGAATGAATGGCACAGTAATGTGATGCTCAACTTAGCCTTATCTAACTAAAAGAAGTTTAAAATGAGCAAATACTGTCAAGGCTTCTGTGGGAACTCAACAAAAAAACATATTATACTTTTAATTCATGTCAACCTTTTAAACTTTTCTAATGTTGAAAGTGCAAAGAAATTACAGCTTTTATTGAAACTTACTGAAACTTTGTTTTATATCGGTAGATCAATACCACTCTCTGGGCGGCAGTAGTTCAGTGTGTAGGGACTTGGCTTGGGAACCGGAGGGTTCCCACAGACCACAATATGGAGTGTGGACTGGTAGCTGGAGAGGCGCCAGTTTCACCTCCTGTGCACTGCCGAGGTGCCCTTGAGCATTGCAACCCCTATCACTCCACCATCTCTCTCCCTGTTTGCATGTCCACAAGTGCATGAAAGTGTGTATTTCAGCCTGTGTGTGTGTGTGTATATAAAACAAAAAAGAGTTAATAGAACAATTTCCCCTAGAGGATTAATAAAGTATATCTTCTTCTTCTTTTCTTCTACAGCCAGCAGCTGATTAGATTAGCTTAGCTTAGCACAAATAGTAGAAACAGGGGGAAACAGCTAGCCTGTCTCTGTCCAAAAGGTGACAAAATTAAACAAAACACTGACATCACTTCTAGGCCCGGCACAGTTACTTTCTGGAGTCTCTGGAGGCTAGTTGCCTGGCAACTGCTCGGAGCCCAGACTTAAGTCCTGCACATAACCCACCATAAAAGGTGAATTGTGTTACCTTTTACTACCTTTACCTTTCCACACAGCCAGGCTGGCAGTTTCCCCTTTCAACTATTGTGCTAAACTAAGCTAAGCTCGTTCTAGCTTCATATTTACCATGAGTGGTATCTCCTCATCTAACTCTTGACAAGAAAGCAAATAAATGCATTTCCCCAAAATATCAAACTATTTCTTTAACTCTATATCAAATTAGCATTATCTGAAAGAAGTTCATAATGAACGTGATAATGATAATAATGATAATAACGTTTTTTAACACAAAACCTCTAATACACAAAATGAGGCTAAAAGCACTTTACAAATGAATGAAAAAGAGTAAACCATTTAAACCATATATTAAATGTCCATTGTGTAGGATTTAGTACTATCTAGTGGTGTAGTAGCAGATTGCAACTCACTTGTTTTACCCTCCCTTTTCAAGTGTGAGGGGTGTGGGGGGGAAGCTATGGTGGTGGTGAAACAGGCAAAATAGACCTACCTAGAGCCAGGGGTTTACTATGTCTCTACTCCAAGAAGACAAAAAACAACTTTATTGTGATTGTTGTATTGCTCCTTTTCTCTGGCATGTTGCTTGGATTTGATACTTTAAGCAGTCAACAAATGCCAAAGTCACTGATGTGTGCATGTCAATACCTACAGTAGCCAGTCAGAGTGTGACAGACGCCTAATGGAGCCTCGGGTTCAGTTCAGAGCGGTGAGCTTTTAGACCAACAAAATCCCACCGCAATCTGTCTGCATGCAGATCAGAGCCCATTTTCATATACGTACAAAAAATGTATTCTGTAGTACTGGAGTCTGGTCTCAGACTGTCTCGGACTTGGCCAGTGGTCTTGAGTCCAGCAATATGTTTTTCCCCCTTCAAAACAAAACCATTGATGAAGCATACCTGTTAAACAATTTTGTATTTTAATTAAAAATCCATCTAGAGCGAGCACTGACACTGGTTGCCTGGTAACCATGGTTACCATCAATGTCACTTGCAATCATATGTCTGGCTGCCAAAACTCATTTCATTGGCAATGGCAAAAGCATTCTTTTTTTCTGTCCCGGTCATGACTCTGTGACTCATTTGAACTCTTTGGACTTGGTCTTGACTAATCATTAAAAATGACCAAATTGTAACTAATTCTTCTATAAAGCCCACTGTAACTTATATCTTTTATATATATATATATATGTGTGTTCTTAATATATGTTGTTTGTATATCTGGAGTTGTAGCGAAAAAAAATTCCCCCTGGGATTATTAAAGTATTTCTGATTCTGATTCTGATTAGATTATTATTACTGGTTCTAGAGTTAAAAAGCACCAAGATCTAAACAGTGGATGGTAGAAATGTGGCTTCAGACTGGATAAACAGTCAATGTATGACAGCTTCTGGCAGACAAGCACAGTGCTGACGCAGGCACAAAGGGGATTTGCATTGACAGGCGACCGGTGAAACACAGCCTTACCTGAATAAAATGACAGATTTCTCTGAGTTTGAACATTGTTGGAAACATTTGGGATAATGGAAGTACACAACTCAACTACATATAGAACATAAGAACGTAGTTCTAGAGTTTATAGGCATTTTAATGCAGAGATGTTACATATGTTGATGTTTATAGCTTTAAATCAAGTTAGTAAAATTGCACTAACTGAATACATTTGAACCACCTTTGCTTTGTTGGAAGGGTTAGAATTAAATTCTTTCTTTTGTGTACTGACTCCCTCACAGATCTTTTCAGTTTTCTTTATCTTTTTTATATAATGTGGTGATTGGTAATTTTCATAAAGACCGTTTTCTCTCAGCTTTTGGTGCCATTACACAACAGCGTTGGTGGTTGACTTGCGGCTTATTGTTCATGAGTTTTTTTATTACATTGTTCTTATTAATATAAAATGCTGTTGTCCTATTTTGAAAAATCCTGTCTCTTTTGACGAGACTTCTATATGTGCTTTTGTCTGCATTAGTTGTTAATCACTTTATACATTTGATTTTTAGAACTTAAATATCAGTCTAACTTAGCTTCAAACCAGCTTGTAATTTTTGCTTTCCTAAACTTAAATTTCTCCTTCCTGCTGTCTCTGGACTCAGACATGTATTTCTACATCAACCTGGCCAGGTTTTTGACTGATGCAAGTTTTTGGCAGCAGTCCAGCCTAAATCTGATTCAACCCAGGGTAACAACTGTGGTCATCATCCTGATTTGGGGGTGTTTTGAACTTGAACTAAAATGTCATTATGCAACATACAGAGTCCTGGCAGACACACAGCAGAATGATACAGCATTCTGTGCTTTTATCTAAAGTGCTTACGCTAATATTGGACATTTATTTGATATCAATTATTCATTCAATTTAATTGACCTCTGATATGATTGAGGTCCCATTCTTTTCTATTTTAATTCATTTAATTGTAAATTATTTGTTAGGCTTTTGTGCTCAGGCAGTTCTGGGTGGACAGCAGTGGATATTTGTAACCACTGGCCACAAAAAATGAAAAATGTTTACCAACTGAATGAATGAAAACCCACGAACCAAACACTGGCAGTAGATTTTTAAAGTTTGAGTTTTTTGTGTGCTCCATGGCCACCGTAGGTTCTTCTTTGCGCTTGGAAGGGGAAGGTGAAGGGATCTACTACTAAATCCTACACACTGGTCCTCTAACAGTTCATCACCGAGGACAATGTCAGTGTGTTATGACAGATAATGTGTTCCTCTGGCTCCTCCTAGTGCTCCTAATGGCATTTGAAAGGAGGTTAGCTTAGCTTAGCAATAAGACAGGAAACAGGAGGAAACAGATATCCTGGTTCTGTCCAAAGGAAACACAATCTGGCCACCAGCACCACTAAAGCTGACTAATCAATATGTGATATCTCAATCCTATAATCTGTGCTGATGTATAAAATGATCATTTGCCATGTAACAGTGGGTTATGTGCCAGAATGTTTCATGGCTCTGAGCAGGGGAACTAGCAAAAGACTACAGGCCAAGTAATGTTTGATTTTGTTACCTTTGACAGACCCAGGCTAGTTGTTTCCCCCCATTGCCAGTCTTTGTGTTAAGCTAAGCTAAGCTAAGCTGCTGGCCTTAGCTTCATATTTACCATACGGACATGAGACCAGCATCAACCTAAAGTGAATAAGCATACCTGAACTGTTGCTTTAATGCTTTTTATTTAGTTGGAGGTCAAAGCCAGTGGTGTATTAACAGATCTATCTATTTTACACACACACACACACACACACACACACACACACACACACACACACACACACACACAGATACACACACACGCACGCACACACACACGCACACACACACACACACACACACACACACACACACACACACACACACAAGATACACACACAAACAGAGGTCTCCCTCTCTAATCCTCTGCTTATGCAATCCGGTGAGATGAAAGGGTTAATGTAACATAGCTTGCTACCTAAATCAGATCTCATTATGGAAATATGATGTGTATGTTTATCTGTGTGTGTATGTCTCTGTTTCAGCTGTCATGGGGGGGGGAAGAGAGATGATGGTCGGATGGATTGAGAAAGGGGAGGAGACCCAGAGAGGCAAACTGTCCTTAATTTGTTTAAGCCGAGGGATTTTTGGATTACCTTTAGCAATTAATCTTGTTACATCGCGCAGCGACAGAGGGATGTCTGCCGTGGGTGGGGCCTATGCATGTGTGTTTAAATGTCAGTGTGTGTGAGTACACACCTGACAGGGTGAAATCCTTACAGGCACAAAACATAATATATTTTATTCTTATTTTATTGCTTTGTTTCATGGCCACAGGCAGAGATAGGTAAACCCAGCTTTCTATTTGTACTTAATACACCTTTTAAGCCTGATGTATTACTTGATAAATTAACTGAATGCCTCATTAAAGGATTACACTGATATTAACTCTTTGAACATGGGGTTTGGAAATAGAACAAAGCAGGAATTCATGATTTTAATAAATTAATTACCCGTTTTGTTCAGATGTATTAGGATAATTTGCTCAATACATCTTTTTCCCAGAAGACAAGTGTAAATAATAAAATGGCTGAATTCCATTTAGCTGCTTCAGTTTCAGGGTTCTTGGTATTGTTCACGCTGGTTCACTGTCACTCCGCCCGGGCTCCTCTCGCTGCATGTTGAAGTATCCTTGAGCAAGACACTGAACCCCAAATTGCTCCCGATGTGCATCGGTGTGTGAATGTGTATGAATGATTAGTTTCCGTTCTGGTGAGCAGTTGGCACCTTGCATGGCAGCCACTGCCATCAGTGTAAGAATGTGTGTGAATGGGGTGTGTGTGACCTGTAGGGTACAGCGCACTGAGTGGTCGAAAGACTAGAAGGGCACTATATAAGTACAGTCCATTTACCATTTACAGTCACAAAAATAAACCAAATGCTGAGATATAGGCCTACTGTGTATGTTTTTTAAATTTTCTTACACCTCTTAAAATCAAGAAGATCTTGCGACCCCCCCATTAATCTTTGGTGACCCCTAGTGGGGGTCTCGAACCCCAGGTTGGAGGCTAAAGTATTTACTTTCTTCATTATACTTACACTACTACAGTTCAAAGGAAATATACAGTTATTAATAATTACTCTGCAGTTTGACAGTTTTCGTGCACAATATATGATTAGCTAACCAAATTTTGTTACAGATTAAAATACCCAACAGTATATAAAGCAGTTAAAATTATCCACCTCAACTAGTGGAAACATTTAAACGTTGCCTAAACTTTAAATTTTGAATGCAATTTTTACATTGTAGTATTGCTATTTTTTTTTACTAAAGGAAAGCATGATTCTGCTTTTTTTCAGGAAAACCGCGATAAAATAAAAGCTTGAAACTAAATATAAAAACTTGTTTTTGACGAGGATAGTCTGTTAGTCTAGAGTGAATAAATGATGAGAGGCAGAGGAGTGAGACGAGTGAGAGAGGATTAAAGGGATTACAGCCAGGTGAAAGGTCAAACAGGATGGAGTTTAAAAGAAGACGACACACATGAGGAGAGAATGAATGTGTTGTTAGCTCCATGTAGATACATACATTACAAAGTCGCTGACTGTTTCCTGTCTGTTCTCCTTTGATTTCACACAGCAGCCATGCGATTGGTCAGCGTGGCGGGGTCGCGGCTCCGCAGGGCGGCTGAGGAGGAAGAGAGAGAGAAGGAGCCCCCACCTCACCAACCCCCCTCACACCACTCCAACCACCAGTTCGCCAGCATGAAGAACAAATTCTTCAATGAGCTCACGCACCTGCCAAGTGAGCACACACACACACACACACACACACACACACACACACACACACACACATTTGATGTAAAATCTACTGAAAATACCTTAAGACAATGCAAACACTTAAGCTCCTAGCTGTTCATACACATGTGCATACTTCAAATTAAGTTGAATTTGGTGTGCTCTCAAAGACTAAATTATTGAAGCATTGTACAAACAAACAGTCATGACTCAACAAGCATAATGTGCATTCATTTCCTTTCAGAAATATGAAATAAATATGAGGCCCAACGTACTTGTGTGTATTTTCAGTGTTGCTATAGGCTATCAAAAACTGAAGCCAGTTCAGCAGATAAAAATCTGCATTCAGAGACACACACAAACTAATGAGAATCAGTCTAACATACATGCCATCATCTAACCATCCTGTCATCTCATTTGCAAATATCACGTTTCATTTCTTTATTGTCTTCTCTCATTTCTTCATGTGATCACTCTGCTCTGCTCTTCAAGATCATAAACTCAAGAGTAAGTCCATCTCTTGTCTCGTGCCATTCTGTTTTTCCAGTTTCAGAGAATATGCAGTGAGTCTCTTTATTATCGGTTGAGGTTTCTTTATACATGTTCAACAAGAGTTATTGTAGGGGAGTGTAGTATTGTAGAAGTATTATGGAGATACCCTTCATTGGCTTTTAAAAAAGTCTTTGTTTGGGCTTATTTGCCAAATGTACGGAAGCCCACTTCTGCTGAGAAAAGACAAAAATTGATGAAAAGATAGGAATGACAAAATAACAATAATATAATAGATAATACATTGAAATTTTAACAAATCCCTATCTAGCATAATCCAATAGTCTTTGACGTCAGATGTTTTTCTCCTCCAACAGTGGAGCACCAATTGTTCGCGACTATAATAGATATTTTTATAATAACGATATATCAAAATGTCAAAGGTTTCAACCAATATTATGACATTCACCTGTCAATCAATCTCTATCTTTTAGCAATACAACGGCATTAGTTAGAAAGTTAGCAACAGTATGGATTTCTACTGTAGCACAGTGTGAAACTGTATCATATTCTATGGAGAGAGTATTATCAGGTTTTCTCTCTGACGTCCTCCGGCTGCTTTGTCTTATCTCTGCTAACTGCTAATGTAGCTCTAACCATTAGTGTGCAACCGAACGGGGCTCAGCTGCCTCCCATTGAACACAACCTCAGAGATAGACAGAGGCCAATGTTTCAACAGCAGTACTGATGTGGTTTATGGAGTGTACAGATGGACGTGTTGCTAAAAGTAGTTAAGTTCTGCCAACAGTGATGTTAGATGCTGTTAGCTAACTAGCTTGTGCAGCTAACGATAGCTGACTTAGCCCCAGGTTGTCTGGAGACAAACCTGGCACAAAAAAAAAACAGGGATAACTGTCTGAAATGTCATATTAATAATTTCAGTCTGGACCAAAGTGGTGGCCAACCAGCAGACAGATCCATCCATATAACCACAATGTTATGGTGAAAAAGCCTCAAACGTATTTACAACCATAGAAGGTTACATGACACCAATCTTACACTTTTCAGGAAGTGCTTTTCCAAAATGCCTCACAAGTCTAGCTGACCTCAGTAGGAATTAAACCCCTCACCCAGGCTGTGTCACCGCTGTTTCCTATCAGACTACAAAGCACCAATATGCCTCTCCTCTACCTCTCCCCCTTTGTCCAGTGCCCATGTGGGCCGTAGGAGCCATTGTGGTCGTGGTCCTTGCCCTCATCGCCTGCCTGGGATTCTGCATTTACAAGAAGTGCTTCAATAAGGGCAAGAAGCCCAAGAAGGTCCGTGAGAGGAAGGGAGGACGAGGGCGCAGGAAGAAGGACAAGGATGGAGAGGAAGGAGATGACAAAAAAGTAAGAAAAGATGAGGTAGAGGGGTTCTGTCCCGTGTATTCCTGACTTGGCATATGGTAATTCTGTTACTTTTGTCAAAAATACACATTTTCCCAAGTTAGAAGAGTTTATGGATTTGTTTGTCTGGTCGCCAGATGGAGTGAGCAACAGCAAGAGCTGCATTGTTGTTGCAGATGTTTGGCTTTTATCCAGGTTGAGACTAGTAATGAATGATAGACTCATGTGCCCTTGTGATTGGACACAGGCTTATGGCAAAAAGTATCACTGTGGATATATAGATTCTTACATAGAACTAAAAATCCATATATCCTGTATATTCATAGGTATGTTTTCAATAGTGTACAACCATGTGAAAATAAGAATAATTGTGTTTTTGTTATGTTTTTTCCACCATAAAAATTTCGACACTGTTGGACAGACAAAGGACGTCCCGGAGGGGCTGCGAGCCGAGCTGCTGCTAACGTTAGCTCAGCTTGTTTCTCTGATAACTTAAGATCAAGATGTCCGATGACTAAAATCCTTCATCCGGTTCAAAGAGTTAGAGTTTAAAAGCACCAAGATCTAAACAGTGGATGGTAAAAATGTTGCTTCAAACTGGATAAACAGTCAATGTATGACAGCTTCTGGCAGACAACCACAATGCTGATGCAGGCATAAAGGGGATATGATGCAATTGACAGGCGACCAGTGAAACACAGTGTTACCTGAATAAAATGACAGATTTCTCTTGGTTTGAAAATTGATCATCAACATGATTGCAGTGTTTTGCAGAAACTGCAGCAAATCTCAGGAGCTTGAATAAGAAATGTGTAAACTTAATGACATTGTTTGTTAACTGCTAACCATGCTGTGTGTCTTCCAGGATGGAGAAGAAGGAGATAAAGAGGAGGAGAAAGAGAACTTTGGCAAACTGGAGTTCACATTGGACTACAACTTTACTGATAACCAGGTATACACACATGCATTTTGCAAGCATTAACACAAATATCCAACCTCCCAAAAAACATCAATAATAGGATGACCTTTTTATTCTGCAAAGCTAGCACCACTTCAGGATTTGGGACCCTACAGTTAAACTTATCTCCCCCTTCTCTCCAGCTGATAGTCGGCATCCTCCAGGCACAGGACCTTGCAGCCATGGACATGGGTGGCACCTCGGATCCCTATGTCAAAGTCTACATGCTGCCGGACAAGAAGAAGAAGTTTGAGACCAAAGTCCAGCGAAAGAACCTCTGTCCCGTCTTCAATGAGACCTTCACCTTTAAGGTCTATACATTGACACTGGGGACATCCAGGCCACGCTGAACATTGAACATTAAAATTAAATAGTTTTGATCATATTATTCAGTGTGAATGTCAACTCTAAAGCATTTTAGAGTTAACCTTCTTTTACGTACCTTTCTAGATACCATATAGTGAGCTGGGTGGTCAGACTCTGGTGCTACAGGTGTTTGACTTTGACCGTTTTGGTAAACACGACGTCATCGGTGAGATCAAGATCCCCATGAACTCAATAGACCTTGGACAGCCAATACACGAATGGAAGGATCTGGTTGGAGGAGAGAAAGAGGAGGTACATGATTCTTTTTTTTCATCATCCAGTGAAACATACATTGAATGTAACAGTCATTACAACAACATGTGCAATATGACAACTCCTCTATGTATATGTTTTGTCCCTGACAGCAAGAGAAGCTGGGTGATATCTGTATTTCCCTTCGTTACGTCCCCACGGCCGGTAAGCTAACAGTTAACATCATGGAAGCCAAGAATCTGAAGAAGATGGACGTCGGAGGACTGTCAGGTAAGACAGATAGATAAATTACTGTGTCGTCAGCATAATAATGAACAGAGCTGTTAGTAACTAGATCATTTATGTATAATATAAAAAACACCACTGTAAGATAACTGTGAAACCAGTTACATGCATTTGTGTCACAACCAATTGATCTAAGGTAAACATTTGCATGCATGCTTATTCTGAAGAGTGGGACTGACAGTGGATTGCAGTTATGGTTTTTAATGCTGGCTCCTCCGATCCACTTTCTGATACCCTGCCTCCCTCTCAGATCCATTTGTTAAGGTGGTGCTGCAGCACAACGGGAAGCGACTCAAGAAGAAGAAGACATCAGTCAAACAAAACACTCTGAATCCTTACTTCAATGAAAGCTTTAGTTTCGAGATCCCCTTCTCCCAGATCCAGGTTCGTATACTTTAAGCATTAAGTTTACATTTAGTAAAATATTTAAACTTAAGTGCCATTCTTTTATGGCTGCATCATTAGACAAGTTAGCTGCGAGGCTCTAGGAATGGCAATGTCTGCTGGATGTTCCGCCACTTTGGTCCACACTAATATCTTGAAACAACCTACTCTCACTCCCAACTCATCAAATGCGGCCATTTAACACTATGACACTCCTCATTTCTGGATAATGTTTTGATCAAGGTTAGGTGACATAGTGTAAAGAACAAGAAAGTATGGAGGAGATTGGTGTGTAATAATATTTTGGTGCAAAGTTTGTCCAGCAGTGTGCACTTTAAATGTAAAGAATATTTAAGTGAAACATTCTTTAATAAAGTTATTTGGTTCAGAAAGCACCCTTATGAAATCGGTGCAATATGCACAAAAGTTCTATCATTTTTTCAGCTCAATAAACTCATTATATCAGTATCCATATTGCTAATCAGTGAATTTTTCCCTTCTATGATCGGTATTGGTCTCAAATATTCCATATTGGCTGAGCTCCAGTTTATATCTTAAATTATATTAAATGTTAGCACACTGACACAGTAAACCAAGACAATAAACATAGTAAACTATATACCTGCTAAACATCTGCATGTTAGCATTTCACCTCTGTTTACTAGTACAGCATCACATATCTGCTAACATGTCTGTAGACTCTTCTCTTTTTTTGCCATAGTTTTGTCACATATTCAGTATCAAAAATCCTTGTCCATTGATTTTAATTTATCTTGACTAAAATTCAAAATTATATTTTGCATATTTGTACCTGTTTGTTACAGCTGCTGATGAAAAAGTCAAAGAGATGTATGAGTGCTGCTTTCAGGGATTTGGGAATTTCTCTTTTAGTATCTTTTATTACCCTTACTGCCTCCCTCAAGTTGAATGCCTTACTGAAGCATATATTGAAGTTAGTTGCTTAGAAATGCATGACTTTTACCCCCAAAACCTCCAGAACAGTATCAAAGACTGTTTCCATTTTCCTTCAACCTAACTGTAACTCCTCCTCCTCCTCCTCCTCTGCTGTCTCCACGTACAGAAAATCCAGGTGCTGATTACTGTGTATGACTACGACAAGCTGGGCAGCAACGACCCCATCGGCAAGTGCTGGATTGGATATGGCGCCTCAGGAGTCGGACTGCGCCACTGGTCAGACATGCTGGCCAATCCCAGGCGTCCAGTGGCGCAGTGGCACACGCTGCTTACGGAGGAGGAGGTGGATGCTGCTCTAAAGGCCCCCATCCGCTAAACACACTCACAGACATGTATATATGCACCATACATGTCATGTACACCATCATCGGCATAGTGTGTGCATTCTTCCATTTGAAACCAAACCATACTACCATCATCGGCATAGTGTGTGCATTCTTCCATTTGAAACCAAACAACTGTAGGTTTTCTAAAATGAATAGTAATCTTTAAAGCTGCAGTAGGTCATTTTTATAACAATCATTTTTTGTCATATTTGCAATAATGATATTTTTTATAAAACTTACCTACTGCAGGTTTAATGTGCGTCAGATTCACACCATCATTCTTTTTGTAATATTTCATGTTGGGTTCTCTTTTTATGACTATATGTGTACTTTATATTGTTTTGAATACATACCATAGAAATGTATGCAAACCCATTATTTGTACTTGCAACACACACTCAAATTTATACCAACCTACAGTATACACAGTGCAGCTAAAGTTGTGTTTGGCACTGGTTCATGCATACTTTAAATTGAAAGGCTACACATTTATGCTGACTCACTATTTAAATGACTCTGGGTAATTTAGCATCATACTTCTATAAAGTTTGGATACTCACAAGAGGCAGATTTAAAAAATGGAGTAATAAAAATTGAAGGCAGACTATGCTGACTTTTAGTCACTAAAAACCCTGTATACTACACCTCCCATAATGCAGCTTGATAGTCTTTAAAAGTATGCGTTTATGCTCCTCCTGTCTGGTGAATGTCTTCATCTTTTAAACTCCCAGTTCCCAACACAGGATTTCTGTAAAATAAAAATACAAATAAAAATGGACGTGTGAAGCCCATTATCAGGGTTGTTTCCTTCAACCACAGAAGACATAATACAACTGTTTTCATTATAGTTCTCCTTATGATGAGTGAACTGAACTTCATGTGTAAAATTGGTTGAGTGCCCCTGTAATTTATTTTCTTGACTACCTTGGTAATTCTGAACCACTGTTTCAGAGCTGGAGTGTTTGTTTCCCTCTTTCCTTACATTCTCCTCTTGTTTACCCGGATAACTCTCTTATCTTCCAAACAGTCTAAACTGGATTTTCCTGTGAAACGTATTGTATTTAGCTGCATGTTTGTACTGATTATTGTGGCTTCTTCTCCTGTGCTTGTGTTTGAATGAGACCCTGATCAGAGTGTCTGCTGGTGAATGTGCATATTAATGTGTGAGTTTGTGTGTGTGAGTTTGTGTGTGTGCGTGTGTGTGTTGTATATCATAAAAAAAATGGAAAGCTGTTTTTGGTTTTACTTTCGATATGTACCATGTGAGTGTAAATAAATAGCTGAATAAATAAAATGTTTCCAAACAACGACAGATGGTTCGGCTGAATGGATAGATTTCTATGCTCGCACATGCTATAATACCCTCATGTGTGTACATGATATGCTTTCATCTGCACACTAGCAGAAAGACCTAGCACGAACACCAGCAGGATCAGTTAAAGCTGCAGTAAGTAATTTTTATAAAAATAACTTTTTGTCATATTTTTTAAAACTTTCCCTATATCCTGACAGTAGAACATGAGACAGATAATCTGAGAAAAAGGTTCCTCCTAGTGGCGAGAAAGATGGAAAGACACCTTTAGTCACACTGTCGGTATTTTACTATCTTGGAATGAGCAATGAACTGTCTTTATCGGCTCTCATTGGGTGTTTTCTTTAAGGTGTGGAGCACTAGGAGGAGCCAGAGGAACCTGATTTTTTCACAGATTATCTATTTCATGTAGCTACTACTGTCAGGATATAGTGAAGTTTAAGTTTTTTTAAAATTTTATTTATTATTTTATTATTTAAGTTACCTAATGCAGCTTTAAATGCACCATTTAGGGTTAAATAAGTATTTCAAAACCTTTTATAAACATAATATTTATGATATATCATGTCAGGGATTATTCCCTATAATACAATCAGTGGAATTGTTACACTACAAGAACTGAACTGTTCACTGTCACTTTCTAGATGTAACTAATCTTTCACCCTGTGATTATTGCTGTAGTTTATCCCAGGAATCCAATTAAAGTATGAATGTGTAGACTTTTTCTGGACAAACTGTGGTCTTCCCATTTCAAAGGCACAGCAGGCCTCACTGATGATTCATATTTCAGTGAGGTCAGTGTGCGTGCGTACGTGTGTGTGTGTGTGTGTGTGTGTGTGTGTGTGTGTGTGTGTGTGTGTGTACTGATTCAATGCAGTGAGTGAAAAACTGGATTAACAGCGTGTCCTCTTTAGTCCCTGTCTCACGCAGCGAGCCAAACATGTGAGGCAGGAATTAGAGAGGAGGCGGGGAGGGCCTGTACAGGAAACATATTTACCACAGACAGGAGAGAGTAAACTGAAAGCACACATGATAAACACTTTTTCAAAAAGCCCCAGGAAAAAAAAGTTGCAAGATATAAAATTATTTATATTTTATACAGCTGATCCCTCTTTTCACTGGTTGTAAACTTTATTTCATACAGTATAGATCACAAACTAGTAGTAGAAAATCTAAAGGGCAAATGTTGTTGCAGCTGTTTCTTGAAACCATGAAAATTTGCCAAATAAATACTAAAAATAAATATTACAAATACAAATAATAATAATAATAGTGGACATTTAGGATCAGAAAATAAACTTAAATAGAAGGAAAAAAAACAAATAACTATCAATATTAACTTATATTGCTCACCAGGAAGACCAGGTACCTTCCCACTGCAGTCCTGGGCCCTTTGCTGGACGCCACCCCCTCTCTCCCCCGCCTTTTCTGGTACTAACCAAATAAAGCAAAATTCCCAAAAAACATATACTGGTGTTGATGTATAATTAAGGAAGAGAAACTTGGTCAAAAAATGACAATTCATGACCCATCTGTAAAATTAACAAATAACACAACACAGGGTAAAATGAACTACGTTTAAGGGGGTTTAGTTTATGACCCAAAGGATTATTAGAAATAGTAAGTGTACAGGTAGCTGGTATCGCCTGCCACAGCTCCCCTGGTCCAGTGCAGGGTCATCAGACAGGAACCACCAACCCACCACTCCTTTAATCCTGGAACGCCTCCTGGTGGCAGAACATCTCCCTTCCACCCCTGTAGCTGGCAAAATTAGTCAAATCAAATTTATATTGATTCTGGGAAATTTGCTGCAGTTTTTTGCACAATACGTTAATGTGATGCTATGTATAACAGACTTGTGTATTGAGAGTTGTACTTTTATGACATGTTTTATGGTGGAACCGAACAAAAAGAATTTTCCACACACATTGTGGACAATAAAGTTTTTGTATGAGAATGTGTAAGTAACCCAAAGTAAGTGTAAAAATAACATAAACCTGGGGTCAAAAATTATTCACATTGCACAACAAAGAGCCATCTAAACTACAACACACTGGTCACATTCCTGACTCTACACTACTTGCTCATTCCTCTGTCCCCACTGTTATCTCTTCATATCTCTGGCACTCTGATGAGACAGGTGAGAGTAACTCAAGCGTTGTATGCTCTGTGGCTGTTTATTAGTGTGACGCAACATTCCAGTTATGCTGATATCTAACATCTGTCTCTGAATTAACAACACCAGCAGACACACATGCATCATTCATAAGGTGTTATTTAAATCTATTATGAAGTAACTATATTAGGGTTTAACATTTAGGAGGATCTATTGGCATAAATTAAATATAAACCCAACAACCACCCCCCACTCTGTGAAGTTACTTATCATATGGCATTGATATTGAACATTAATCCCACATAATCCTTTTTTATCCGACAACTTTTGAATTCCTATTACTAGATTACAAGCCATTAGGCAAAACTTCTTACAGCAGATGTCTATCTGACAGTGCTGTAGCTAAATTTTACATCAGTGTTTAATTCAATGCTATGTCTAAATATAACAGAGGACTCCTATGATAACCTTAGTCCCTCCCAAATTGATCATCTTGTCAATAGTGCTGCAGGCTCACTACGATCAACACTAGATTCTATCGCCCCTATAAAAAGGAAATTATTAAAACATAGGAGGCTAGCACTGTGGTACAACCACCAAACCTAACTAAAGCAAAAAGGGAAAAGGAAATGGCACTCTTACAAACTATTAGAATCACGGTCAATCTTGCAAGATAGTCTTAAAACATATAGAAAAGCCCTCCGTAATGCCAGAGCAGCCTATTATTCAACACTAATATAAGAAAATAAGAACAACCCTTGGTTCCTCTTTAGCACTGTAGCCAGGCTAACAGAGAGTCACAGCTCTATTGAGCCATGTATCCCCATAACCCTCAGTAGTAACGACTTTATGAGCTTCTTTTATAATAAAATTATTACTATTAGAGACAAAATTAATCACCAACTGCCCTCAAAAGGTAGCGCTGTCTCTCAAAATAAAGGAATTTTAACAAATGTAAAATCAGATATACTCTTAGACTGTTTTTCTGCTATCAAGCTGCATCAATTAACTTCAATAATTTCTTCATCGAAGCCATCAACCTGTCTCTTAGACCCCATCCCAACTAGGCTCATTAAAGAAGTCTTACCCTTAATTGGCACTTCTTTACTGGATATGATCAATCTTTGTTTATTGTCAGGATATGTACCACAGTCCTTTAAAGTAGCTGTAATTAAACCCCTTCTTAAAAAGCCCACTCTTGACCAATTTCTAACCTCCAACAAACAGTTGTGTGACTTTTTACATAACAGCTTATTTGAGGATTTTCAGTCACGATTTAGGCTACATAATAGCACAGAGACAGCAATGGGAAAAGTTAATAATGACCTTTTAAATGCTTCAGACAATGGACTTGTCTCTGTACTATTAGATCTTGGTGCTACATTTGACACCATTGACCATCATATTCTATTACAGAGACTTGAGCATCTAATTGGCATTAAAGGAACCGCACTAGGCTGGTTTAAGTCTTATTTATCAGATCGTTCTCAGTTTGAACACGTTAACGATGAATCCAATTCTATTCACCTTATATATGCTTCTCTTAGGCAACATTATTAGGAATCACTCCACTAACTTTGATTGTTATGCAGATGATACGCAGTTATATTTATCAATCAAGTCTGATGAAATTAATTATCTAAATTACAAGCATGTCTTCAGGATATAAAAACCTGGATGAACTTCAATTTTCTGATGTTAAACTCAGACAAAACTGAAGTTCTTGTACTTGGCCCCAAACACCTCCGAAACTCACTGTCTAAAGATATAGTAACTCTAGATGGCATTACCTTGGCCTCCAGCGCCACCGTCAGGAATCTTGGAGTTATTTTTGATCAGGATATGTCCTTTAACTGCCACATAAAGCAAACCTGTAGGACTGCTTTTTTTTTTACTTACGTAAAATTGCAAGAAATTTAGACATTTCCTGTCACAGACGAATGCAGAAAAACTAATCCATGCATTTGTTACTTCTAGGCTGGATTACTGCAATTCCTTATTAGCAGGCTGCCCCAATAAGTCCATTAAAAAGCTACAATTACTTCAGAACGCTGCAGCACGAGTACTGACAGGAAAAGAGATATTACTCCTGTATTAGCTTCTCATCGTCCTTCTCACCTACAAAGCTCTTCATGGTCAGGCACCTTCATATCTTAAAGAGCTTATATAGGTATATAATATTATTATATAGAGGTATACCCTGTTACCCCACTAGAACACTGCGTTCTTTGAATGCAGGGCTACTTGTGGTTCCAATAGTCTCGGCTACCAAGCTCGTCTCCAGTGGAACCAGCTTCCAGTTCGGGAGGCAGACACCCTCTCCACATTCAAGAGTAGGCTTAAGACATTCCTCTTTGATAAAGCTTATAGTTAGGGCTGGATCAGGTGAGTCCTGAACCATCCCTTAGTTATGCTGTTATAGGCCTAGATGCCGGGGGATTTCCCATGATGCACTGAACTCCTCTCATTCTCTCCCTCACTTTCTGCACACATTCATGTCCCATTAATGCATGTTACTAACTTCACCTTTCCCTGGAGTTCTTGTGCTTTCTCGTCTCGCAGGTTGTCATGGATCCTGGTGGTGCCTGCTGCCATGGTCCTGCTTGACTCCCACTGCTAATATTATTATTATTATTGTTATTAATATTATTATTATCTTTGTTATAGTTACTATTATTATTGTCCATTGTCCCCCATCGTTGTGGCTGTTGTCGCAATCATCATCATCATTATCATCAGTCATTTCTGTTTATCAGTAATTATTAGTATTTGAAAAGTGTGCTGATTTAATTTCCAGAAGATTTTCCAAAACATAATAGGTAATGATGGCAGTACCAAATTCTCAGTTGGAGGTAAAATGACTCTTTTAGTCCCAGTGTAGAGAGGATGTGAAAATAATAATTTCTAAAACGTCACCCCCGCCTCCCCTCCACTGACATATCACAAGCAAACCAGACACTGCCCTTAAGAAATACACTGAATCATAAATGCTTTTTTGGAGACTCATCGGAAACTGGCCCTTACTTACCACCTCTGTGTCTCATTAATATCACAACTCTATTCTTTATAACGCTTCATCCAAAGGTCAAGGGTGTAACATTTAGGAGGATCTATTGACAGAAATGGAATATAATATTCATAGGTATGTTTTTATGTGTTTTTAAGTGTGCATAATAAGGGAGTAGTGTATGGCTCTGGAATTTAATCTTTTGTTCTGCAATGTCTGCCACTCTTTTTAGGTGGTTTTGTTAATGTTGATGCTTTTAGGATTGATAGTGTGGCTCCTGAATCAACTAAAAATACAACATCGTGAACTTCTATATTTGAGACTAATTCTTAATAAATTATTAATACAACAAACGGTTGTATTTTGTCTGTTTAACAAAATAGAATAATAAAAGAGATACAGAGTTCAGAAGAATTACAAAAGTCAGACAAGAGCGGTGTTCACTTAGTTGCAATCTGAAACTTGACCACTAGATGCCACTAAATTCTACACACTGGGATATTCTCTTACATATGGAAAAAAAAAAATCCCTCCAGACCCTATCACTGGCATTTTCGGGACTTTCCCGAAGAATGTATTATTCCTTAACTCCCAACCAGAGGCTATAGCTTTCTCACCTCAGGTTTAAAAGGTCCAGTGTGTAACATTGAGGAGGATCTATTGTCAGAAATGGAATATAATATTCATAGGTAAGTTTTCATTAGGGTATAATCATCTGAATATAGGAATCATTGTGTTTTTGTTACCTTAGAATGAGACGTTTTTATCAACAGACGCTGTAGGTCGCCTTCCATGGAGATCACCATTTTGAATGACCGTGGTTCTACAGTAGCCCAGAAGGGACAATCCAGACACTACCTGTAGATAGGGATGTTTGTGTTTTCGCGCGTTTTGCAGCCACCTTAGTTTCTCCCTCGCAGTTGGATGAGAGGGTGAAACAAGTTGCAATTCACAACCACACCACTAGATGGCACTAAATCCTACATACTGATTTTTTAAAAATTGGTGGGTCTTCCCATAAAAGCCCCCCAAACTTATTTCAGTCAGCCAACTCACGTTTGGAATGTTTATTAAGCAGTATAGCATATTTAGATGTTGGTGTCTAGGGTCCGAGCTCATCACTCCCCGCAGATATGTTTACATAGAGATATTGGGGAGTGATGAGCAAATCTCATTTGAGTAACACTGTGTATCCTTATTTTCTGTTGTTGATTTCGGGAGTTTTCAGTTGTCTTACAGTTTGTTAAACCATGGGAAAATAACCTCTGAATGACACTCAGGATGTTAATGAGTGTATAATGTGTATGAATGTATAAAAGGGTCTTTTTTCAGCATATAAACACACAAAAAACAACTTGATTTAATTGACCTTGGAGTCCACAACCTCAAAACTCTAACCAAATAAAACTGAAACTGTAACAAAATCAACTCAAAACATGTGTGTGCATCTGGTTTTAATTATCAATACAACTTATTATGAAATATTCAATATCTGTCGTATACACAGAAAAGGCCTACAGGGCGGCTTTGGCACTAGAACATAATAGAGAGGCCATTTCCTAAACTGTGTCCCCTTTTTTGTCATCAATGTTTTTTTCTTTCTCATCTTTTCCCCCTCCGTTTACTTCCAGCGACCGCCCACCTTCCCTTTACCATGGACTTTTTTGCTGTAGGAGGGAGAGAGGAGGAAGGAGAAGGAAAGTGAGGAAAGATGTAGCAGGGATTGTAGAAACACACATGTATCAGATCTGCAGTTTATCATTATTTCATCTAAAAGTAACTACTCACAATTTCTGAGCATGTTGGATTCTGTTCAGCAGCACGATGATCTGCAGGAGGCAAACAAAAAGACTTTAGAGGCATCAAGGAGAGAAAAAAACAGAAATCAACTACTTTCCTGACCATTTCTGTCAGCAGTACCTCATATTTCTGGTGCTTCATATGCTCAATGAAGTCAAACTTCTCAGACTCCAGCTGGTAGATCCAGTTCCACATCTCCTGGGCCCGTTGCCTTGGAAACAGACAATTTGGATCTTTATTATGTTAAGTAACATTTTTCAGTCTGTCTAGCTCAAACAGCAACCTAATGGCTGAGCCACTTGTGACTAGCTAGTGAGTCATTCTCCATGAGGCCCCATATTCATGACAGCTGCTCCACCCAAGCTCCTCTTATTTGCCCATTTTGAGTTAGTACTGCCAAGATGGCGACGGGCAGAACCAACCACACTTCAGATTAGATTAGATTTTATTTTTATCCATGCATATGATTGGCTAGGGGATGTTAAAGCTGGGATTGACTATCTGCTAAGCCCTGCCCCCCTTAATTATTGTTGCTTCACCTTTACTCATGTTACGTTTCGTTGCTTTAGCCTTTTTCGTTGCTCACTCTCTGAAGTGTTACCTGGAAGTTATAGCAGCTAGAGGCAAGTAAGAAACATACTGTTACAGCCTCACCAGATGTATAAGACGGGGAAATAAATAGCATTGTAATGAGATTGTCTGGAGTTGCTGGAGGAGTAAAGTTCCCAAGAGTGAAGAGTAGGACAGAGCTGGTAACGTTAGCCTACACTCTGATATATATATATAGTAGCATCCAGGACCTGCTTCCACACAGTGGGGAAATACTACGCAGTGGATGTGCTATCATGAACAGGGCTATTTTTTAACGGAATCTATAACCCCACAAAATAAGGTAGCATGAATTAGAAGTAACGCTTGGCTAGTTACGGTTGCTAAGCTATGATTTGACAACCACTGTTACACATCCAATGATGAGCTTCAGACAAGAAGTTTTACAATCTGGGAGGGGTCATTGGCTGTAAAATGAAGCTATATCTGTGATATATTTGTTATCTGAATAGCAATGATAATGTATGCTCTATTTTGTGTGACCTAAGTGGCAGACACAGGTCAAAGGTGGCCCCAGTAGTGATCCCTGTGGAACACCACATTTTACCTTATAGCAGGACAATATGTTAATGTATTATTGGGAACCCTTTCTGCCATTTACAAACGAATGGAACCAGGCTAGTTATGGTTGCTAAGCTATGATTGGACAGTCACTGTTCATAGGAGGGGCTTACAGAACATTCAATTTGTAAAGGCAATTGAATATGATTAATATTGATTCAATCACCTTTCAGGTTATCAATACCCAGTTTAAAGGTGCTGCAATGGCATCATTGGTTAGCTGTCTGAAATATAACTGGAAGAGACTCACTTGAGCCCATCCTCCCTCAAACTGTCGATGCCCAGTGGCTGCCGTCTCTCTGCCAGGGTCTTCTTCTTGATCTCTTTGCCTGTTAGACGCTTGCCCCTCCTCGACTCAGCCTAGAACAGAAGTCCACAGTCAGTCCACAGTCATCCTCTGCATCATCATCTCCTCACCATCATTGTTACCATCATATCTACTGCTTGTCTGACCTTGGCCAGGAAGCCTCCGAAGTTCGCTCCCATGCCAGAAAGCACTTTCTTCTTCTTGGCGTCATCATCAGCCTTCTTCTTGGCTTCCTCTTCCTCTTTCCTGTGACGTTCCTCCTGAAGATGAAGAATGATGACGTGATGAAGGTGCAAGAAAACCATGATTACATATGGAATTTAATTTTTGTGCATCTGTTGAGTTCAAGCTATATTGAGCAGCTTTTTATACATTTTATAAATGAAAAGTGGTTTCACATTAGAAATTAGAGAAGCCATTGTATTACAGTACCATTAATCATGTGTGCATCCTTGAGATACATCATACAAAGCCTGCATGAGCCTGTTTACAGCCTAGATAAAGTGCTTTGATACAGACTGGGTGATACATTTGTACATTTCTGTATAACCATGAGTGTTTGTGTTACCGCAATCCTGTTCTGTCTGTCCTTCTCCTTTTCTGCTCTAACCCTCTGGATCTCAGCTCTCTCTGACCGACGATGCTCCTGATGGAAAGCAAAGCAAGAAAGCCATAAAAAATATTAATGCAATTCATCAACCATTAAGGCACATTTGGATAAAAATTATATCACATTATAGAGCAAACCATCTTAACTTCTTATCTTTGAACGGGCACTTAAAGCTGGCTCCAGAAGTGAGTCAATCTCCATAAGGGGTTTTAACTGAACTCACGATTCGGTCCTTGAGGCCGATAAGCTCTTCCTCGTCCTTCTTCCTCTGCTCGAAGTGGACATCAATCAGAGTATGGAGCTCGAGTAAATCCTTCTCCATACGCTTTCTGTGGATGTCCTGATGGGACAAGGAAGTGTTTATTTTCATAAAAGGATCTCGACAGAACTGCTACAATTAAAACTGATTATTTCACCACTGATACATCTATTGTATTCTGTGTGAATTCAGGCCTCCATCAAGTCAAGCTCATGGATTTCTGGGAACCAAGTCTTGTCGAAAATATCTGCATAAGATCTTTTAAAAGCCAAAATAATAAATTAATTTAATCTAATGTGGATATAATTACAATCAAATGATTGGCAGTAATAATGTCCCCATGGAAATGGGGGAAAAAATCAAACACAGGAACAGTTTACTAGCCAGTATCAAGGCAGCATGAAAATGGGTATGGAGTCATGAAATTGGAGATGTAGAAAGGAGTCAAGCTATTTAAAACCCTGTAGCTCAAAACTAAGAGAGGGATTAAAGACTATTTCCAATTTATTGACTGTATGGAGAAATTGAAACCTCCATTAAAATTATTCAATGCCTTCAATACCAACAAGCATCGTTTCAGTCCTCTGGGTATTCAAATGCAGGAAGTTAGTGTAGTTTTACAATCTGGGAGAAGTCACTGGCTGTTGAATGAAGATATTTGGGTGTCATCTTGATAGCAATGATAATTTATGTTGTATTTTATGTGACCAAGTGGCAGAGAACAAAAGTGGCCCCAGTACTGATCCCTGTTGACCATCAAATATTATCTTGCAGCAGCAATCTGGGTTAATGTATTATTGTGAAGCCTTTCTGACACTTAGATATGAACAGAAACAGAAGTTACAACACTCACATCTGTGGTTCCCAGATGATTTATACCACAGCTGCAAAGTAAAAATTAAATTGATCTGGTTTAATCCCCTTATCATAACTTACGTCAAAATCCACCCTATCCCCCTCAGGAATCTTTGGAGGGGCAAGCTGAGGCACCATAGGTCTGGAGAAAAAAATAAGCACAAAATGAAGACTGAAATGAAAATATTAGAGGAACATGTAATTTCAGACTAAGAAAAAAAACTACTGTAACCAAACATAATAAAACTGGGTGAACATACTTGGGTTTGGGGCGCTCCTCCTCTGTTGATGGAGGAAAGAAAGAAGATTGAATAAAATGTTTTACTTAAATGTGTAAAAAGATTAATTTGAAAATCTGAAATCTGTTAATAAAGCTATTAATGTGACTGAAAGCACAGCAAACGTGGGACTGAGAAAAGAAACATAAAAGTTTTTTAGTTATGATAAAACAAAAGAGCAAAGACATAATGTTTTCATCACCAAACACTTCCATTACCAACCCAGGGTCAAACTGAACTTGTACTAGTAGACCAATTTACTCCATTATAGCTGTATAGCTCTCAATACTTTGTTTCCAACATGAGAGCTTTACAAGATTGCAGTTAAAACAGTCCAGTGGGATTTAAAGGCGTAAATCTAATCCTAGTGTTTATTAGATAACTAATTTGAGGTAAAATTGTCTAAGTTAGCGACCTCAGCTGGTTCTGAGCTTGAGGAGAGGAGAGTTTAAAGGAGTTTTAACCCTTTAGACAACCAAACGTCTACAATTTCTCACCTTCCTCCTGGGCATCTTGATCTGACGGACCAGCAACATAAAGACAAAATGAAAAATAGAAGGTGGACAGCATAAATAATACATGGAGTAACAAAGGAGCCATTAATGATGGATGAAAAGTACACAAGAGAACAGCAAGGGAATAGAGAAAGGTGGGTGAAGGAGAGGAGTAGGGAAGGAATGAAGGAAGAATGGAAAAATAGGTAAACAAGTGAAAATGTAGGAAAGAAGGTGATAAAGAAGGAAAGACAGTAAAAGGAGGATGAAATACATACAGAAGTAAGACATGAAGAGGTAAAGAACCAAAGGGAGGAAGGAAGAAAACAAAAAAACAGATGATCCAGGAAAAAAATTTAAAAGTGACAAATCAAAGATGAGGACATAAGGAGGAAAGATGTGTGGAATGATTGAAAAAGAAGTTAATATCTGATACTGCACAGGTAGCAAGCTTAAAGAAATAGTAAGACATTTTGGATGTACTTTTTGGCTTTCTTGCACACCTGGCCCAAGACTTCTGAAGGAAGTTGGGCACCGGGGTCCTCAGTACGCACAGTCCAAACTGACCACAACTACTTCACTACTGCCTGAAAGACACGTCTGCACTTAGAATATAAGGGCCCAAGACCCATGGTGTCTAAAATGTAAGCTGACCACAAGGGCCCCTGGGGCTTAAAGCGCGATCTGACTACTAAGGGCCCCTGGTTATACAAGGGTTGAAACGTCATAGTTTAGGGGGGCTCCAAAAAAAACATGATTTCCTCACCACCAGCAGCTTGTTAGCTTAGCCTAGCACAAAGACAGGCGGAAACAGCTTGCCTGGCTCTATCCAAAGGTAAACTGATAAGAACATTTCTCTGAGGTACAATAATCTCATTGGTAACCTCACTTTAATGGGCGTGGTAAAACCATTTCCAGCAAACTAACATCTGCTCTAAATCATGGTGGAACTTTGGCCCTGCTAATCAAGGTTTAAATCCATAGAGAATTTCTTGTAGAACTAAAACTCACATCTGTTATGTGCATGTCAGAATACATACAATGGCTGCAGCTGTAGAGATGAATAAAACATTTTACAACTTTTAAAGGTAAAACAGAAGCTGCATACCAGTGTGATTTTTCTATTGTCTTGGACTGGTCACAACGTTAAAATATTATCAGCTTAAAAGGTACCAGTGTAAAGTGTTAGCAAACCTTTATTTGCTTCAATCACTGAACCAACCTGCCTTCATTTGGGACAGGCCTTTAATTCCTTTTGCACAAAACTCTTGTTCAGCAATGATGGGAAATATTATCTGAATGTTTATTTAGACCAGTATGAATATTCCTTCTATTGAAAAACATATCACTTACCGATCATTCATTTGATCATTTGATACTTCGGTGCTCATGGTTTCTGTAAAATGAGCTGAAGGATTGAACTGTGGAGAATCTAAGTGATCTAACGATGTGTAGCATGTCCATATTGGCTAATGTTTTAACATTTATATTTGTGTAGGTCATCTAAGCATCTTGGAACTCGCTCAACTGGGCGACCCGGTGGGTTTTAAGAGGTTATATAACTCCAAAGAGACCTGCCTTTATTTTTCAAAACTTGCAGCCACACCAGGCATACAAAAAAAGACCTGCGTCTAATTGGGACCCTGCTTTTAATTGAAGTTTAACGATATGTACAGTACACGTCCAGCACACACAGCAACATTGGCATTCATGTGGAGATGTGCTTCTGGTCTTGTGATGAATGTGAATCAATATTCACTCCCCTTTCCCCTTTCTGAGTAAATTAATGTTTTTTATCTGTTTCAGCTAGCTAGCGAAATCGAATTCGATTTCTGTTTGTGTTGTTTGTACCTTTAAAACACTGGCTGCAACAACAGGCAACGGAGAAAAGCAGTAAAATGTACACAACAGTAACAAAGGCAATCAAACTATTATGGAAAGATGAGGTATGACATATGATTTTATCTTTAAATGTGGAAAATACTGTGCTGCTACTGTGAACTTAACTCACTGTTTATGCAGGTAAAAGATCTGTCTAGACAGTGGTCCAGGTATGATTCACCTGCATTGAATTTAGGGATAGCCATAAATGGTGTCTAAAGTGTAACTGATGGTGGGAATGCTGTCACCTTACCTTGGTACTCTTGCTGCTCTGATAGCCCAAACCAGCAGCCAATGGGGAAGCAGAATGAAGGGGGAGTAGATAGGAAAGAGTTAGTGCAGTGTCACCCATAACTCACACAATTAAGAAGAAGAGAGGCAACAATTGCAGGGCTCTTCTTCAAGACATTTATCTCATAACAACATTATCATGATCACCGTTTTAATTTGTTTTACTGTTTAAATCACCTGTTTTATCTCCAGACTTTATGACAGGTAGCTGTCCTGTGTATTGGCTTTGCATTATGGTCTTCCTAACCTTACCTCCTCCATCCTCCTCTGCCTGCTGAGTCTCCTCCTCCTCCTCAAGCTCGGCCTCCGGCTCAGGCTCTCCCTCCTGCTCCTCTTCAGCCTCTGGGAAAAGGGCACCCAGAGAAATTAGTTTCATGTCTCGTACAAATCTTCATTGATGTTGTTCATCATACTTACCCTCTGCCTGCTCCCTGGAGAGATGATTAAAAGGAGTGGAGGGAGATAATTTCAGTTAAGATCGCAGCTGAAGCATTGACACTATAATAAAGTGATGTGAACAAATGATGTGAGATGATAAGCCAAGAGGGATGCTGCTCTACTCACTCGTACTCCTCTTCTACATCTGACATGGCTGCAATAAAGAGAAACCGATTAGAACAGAAGTAATGCAATGAAATATTCACACGATTAAAAAAACATGAAATAAAGGTAATGGCTCTTAAGAAGAATTCTTGAAATGTTTTGATGAATTCGGAAACTTCCACTGTGTACAATTTAGTGGCATCTCCATTACTTCACCCTCCCCAACTATGCACAAAGGGGAAACTACGGTGGCCACACAAGGCAAAAAAAAGATGTGAACTCCCCTATCTAGAGTCAGTGTTTGGTTTGTCCATTCTGGACTACTGTAGAAACAACGACGGACTCCATGGAAGGGGACCCCATGGAAGGGGACCCCATAAAAACGGCTCATTCTAAAGTAATAAAAAAATGTTCAGGTTATTATACACTAATGAAAACATACCTATGAATATTATATTCCAGTTCTGACAATAGATACTCCTAAATGTTACTCACTGGACCTTTAACTGATTAGTCAATTAATACTAACCAACTGAACCCTACTTGCATCTGTATTTGACTACCTGGAAATGAAAACGGGCTGGGAAGTGTGTAGGAGAGGCTACGATGGCCTCGAAACAGATTACAACTCACTCGTGTCATTCTACCTTTCCAACCACAAGTGAAAAACTGTGGTGGCTACAAAATGTCGGAAAAAACGTGAATCACCCTATCTACAACCAGTGTTTGGTTTGTCCCTTCTGGTCCACTGTAGAAACAGACGGTTCAACATGGCTGACCCGAGGCATCTATAGTTAAAAATGTCTCATTCTAAGGTAACAAAACACAATGATTCCTATATTCAGGTGATTATAGAGTAATGAAAACATAGCTATGAATATTATATTCCATTTATAACAACAGATCCCTCTAAATGTTACACACTGGACCTTTAAAACTTAGTGAATAGGTGGAATGATTATAAAAAAAGATACTGGTCACATGAATTTAAAAAACCATACAAGGAGTTTTTAAAATACTGAGCAACCAACATAATGTAAATGCAGGCTTGAAGGTCTGGCTGTCCATAAGAACATGAGTGAGTCATCATCGCTTTATCACAGGTGGCCACAGTCCTAATTCTCCTGTGATTAATTACTTTGGAGATAGAAAAACACACACACACAAGCACAGAGAAACACTGCACACCGAGATGGTTTTGGCTATAAATTGTCCCTCTGAGCTGCCATTGTCCTGCCATAAAAGCATGCACAGACAGACATACGCCGTGGGTGTGCGCTGACACCTTCCTGGCAGGGGACACAGGGGAAATTGATGGTGCGTCAACAGGTGAGAATGTGACAAGGGTTAAACGTAGAAAGATCAAGAGAGATAGAGTTTCTCTCACTTTCTAGTTCCCCTCATCCATCTCTCTCTCCCTGTCTCTCTGCTTTTGTCCTCACTCACCCTTTCAGCTTCTGTCCTGGTGTCTCTAATAGATTAGATGGGATGATTGGTTTCGTTCAGGCCCTAGAAGGAGCCAGAGGAAACCTAATCACAGATTATCTGTCTCATGTACTACTGTCAGGATATAGTGTAAGCATATGACAAAAAGTAAATTTTATAAAAATTACCTACTGCAGCTTTAAACAGACAGGAAATTCATCAGACATCCCCATTTCCTTCGATTATGCCTCTACAGACCACCATGCCCTCCCATACTTTCTTACACTCATCAGGAACCGTTCATAGTGGCCCTGTGACTGTGTGGTTGAATTTATAGAGGCAGTAACTGTTGTAAAAATCTCTGCCTTCTCTCCCCTCTGTCTGTTGCCATGCCAGACCCAGTAGCTTGGCATAACCAGGCACCATCAGTTCTTTCTTGCTGAGAGTTTAATGAGAAGACTGACACCACCATAATGTCTGCATAGTACATATGAAGCTACAGCCAGCAGACATTCGCTTAGCTTAGCTCAAACTGGAAAGAAGGGGAAACAACTAGCTTTGCTCTGTCCATTGGTAACTGATATCTGTATGATCACACAGTAATGTGAAAGGGGGTGTAGTGGTGAACCAAACCACAGGGAATTATTTCTCAAATCTGCAGCTGCCGTTGGCTGTGCAAAGCTTTAAACTGAGTTTAGCTGTTGGGTTTCCAACTTCACTGTTTCGGCTCACTTTTACCGCTCTCATAGTGTGTCTTTAAACTTCAGCAGGCAGCTGTTTTCGGAAAAACAAAAAGCTCTGATAAACCAACCTGCTCAGCTTCAAACAACAGATAAAGTTAGAGACTAGATAGTCTTTGATAGTTTTTGCAAGAGCTCCGTTCCACTCTGTTCTAATCCACTGGGCCTGGACAAAGACAACCCGTCTGAGCTGAGAAAGATAGTTGACTGTTCAGTCTCATCTTCAAATACAGATGCTTTGGGACCCTGGGAGTCCCAACAATGAGACTCAACACACAACTATCTTCAAGCCTCCAACCCAAAGAGTCTTTATATTTTTCTCGGCTCTGATTGGTCGTTTTTGCTCAGGCCTATAGTGAAAGTTTCAGCAAATTTGAAAAAAAGGTTATTTTTTATACAAGTTACCTACTGCAGCTTTAAACGGGGAGAGAAGGCCTCCCAAAGGATATGTAAAGATAAAACCTATTAGTAAATGCATGAGGAATGAGAGAGGTTCGTGGGGAAAAATGACAGATGGATGAATGAGAGGTGCACATTTCAACACCTCTGACGGGACAGTCAGAAACCACCCACTAAATGGAGAGGAGGAGGGTGGTTGGGGTGGCAAGCGAACCAGGGGATTTGGGAGGAGAATCAAGTTCCAACAGGACAACAGGCTTGGGCCTGAGCAGAGTTAATTTTAGTCAAGGGCAGTGTGTGTATGTATGTAAAGTAAAGAATGGGTGTGCAACAATACCTCATTAGTGTGAAAGAAAGGCTATTGTAGGCTATTAATATATTTTAGAGAGGAGAGCAACAGAGAAGGAAACGTGTCGGTAAAATCCTTTTGAAAGAGAATCCAGCTGCAATAAAACTGCACTGCATAAAGTGAGAAGCTGTGTTGTTGGATATTTCTTTTATGTGCGAACTTCATTAAAGGACCAGTGTGTAGGATTTAGTGGCATCTAGCTGTGAAGTTGCATGTTGAAGGTTGCAACTAACTGAACAGCGCTCGCATCTGTATTTGACGACATGGGAATAAGACCGTGCTGTGAAGTGTATAGGAGAAACTATGGTGGCTGTGAAACTCGCAAAAAATGTGAACTTCCCTATCGACAACCAGTTTTTGGTTCGTCCCTTCTGAGCTACTGTAGAAATCTGGCGGTTCATCATGGCGGGCTCCATGGAAGGCTAGCCGCTCCTTCTGTAGATAAAAACGTCTCATTCTAAGGTAACAAAAACACAATGATTCCTATATTCAGATGATTATACCCTAATGAAAACATACCTATGAATATTATATTCCATTTCTGACAATAGATCCCCTTAAATGTTACACACTGGACCTTTAAACCTGAGGTGAGAAAGCTATAGCCTCTGGTTGGGAGTTAGGGAATAATACATTCGCTGAGAAAGTCCCGAAAATGCCAGTGATAGGGTCTGGAGGGATTTTTCTCCATAAGAGAATATCCCAGTGTGTAGAATTTAGTGGCATCTAGTGGTGAAGTTTCAGATTGCAACTAAGTGAACACCGCTCTTGTCTGTATTTGAAGGACCTGGAATGAAAACAGGGAAATTGACACTGACTGAACACACACACACACACACACACACACACACACACACACACACACTACCAACTGCATAGATTACATTTGTGTATGCAGACAACTGTTTAACTGAGTGCTAAAGTTAGCTAGTCTGACCTCAGCATTTGTGCATGTGGTAAGCATGACTATAGAGGCAAAGGAACAATGTGAAGGGTGGTAGTTTACACACACACACACACACACACACACACACACACACGTATTCACAAAAGCCTAATTAGCTGTCAGACCCTTTGACGGATAGTTCTAAATAAAGAAATCCAGGCTAGCTAACAGCGCTGCGGTGTGGATGATTTCGACATTTCCTGAATGTTTTTATGAGGGCTTTTTGGACTAGCAATGTAAACATAATTTGACACAAATGGCCAAGTGGGGATGTCTTGTTAGGTGTCTCAACTACAGAATGAAATCCTGTTCAGAACATAGAAATAAAAGTCTATAATAAAGATGCAGCATGGTTTTCTACGGGTTTGAAATTGTACTGTGTGAGCGTCGGCTGTGCTAACAGATTCACAGGTACAAAGACGTGCAGACGCAGATTGTAAGAGGGGACAGTTCACACAAGGCAGCCATTTGTCTATAAACATTTGCTGCACAGATCTCTTTTACATTGTATCCATTATGTTTATCAACTGTATGTAACGTATACCTTCTATCCAGTATTTCAAAAAGGTGGGGTATTTTGTAACTTATGAAATCAAAATAAAACCTACACTTAAGTGTAAAATATTTTTGTCACTTACCTCTGGTGAGTAATTCAGTATTTCAGATAAATCATTGCTGGCTCTATTTGCAGACATTCTGGCAATGTCCATCAATAGATTTCTGCTGCCATTCAAATACAATGGAGGTGAATGGAATATTTTCCTTAAAGCAGGGAAAGCGACCTGTCTTCTCAGAAATAGTGCCCTGCTTACCATGGGTAGCCCACAGAGCATACTATAAAATAAACTGTTGACTGTGAGGTCTGTGGATTATTCAAGGCACGACGTTCATCGTTCCAGGAGAGAAATTCCATTCAGCTCCATTATGTTGGTTAAATAAGAGGTTCTTGTTTTGACGACTCAGGATGAGATGAGAAAAATGACACTCAAGGACCATTACAGTGGTTCCCCTTTTTGGATTGATTATGTTCAAGGTAGCCGTTGATTTACATTAATATCACAGCAGCAGGGATCTAACCTGCTGTGACTTTACTACTACTTGAGATAATGAATTTACTTTTTTTATTGCATTACTGTTCCATGGCAATAGAGGTCTTTTTTAGAGACATTCTGCCTTGGTGGTGCACTCAGGGATGCTCAGACACCCAAGATTTGAGTCTGCTGCTGAGAAGCAGTGTAGCAGGCACATGTTATCTGGAAATCCTGAAAGTACAGTAACATTAGGTTGAAGTTTTTTACATTGAAAGGATTGCTGATTGGCTGGTGGGTCTCATGCTGGAGCATCCTTAAACACACAAGCAAGGAAGAGTTTTCAAAGAACTGACTACACTAAATACAAGTGTCCACTGTGATGGATGATGGTGAAATGAATTGAAAACAACAAATGACATCATATCAGACATTCAATATTGCAGTTTTTGGTTATATTTTATTCTACTGCAATCCTATGAAAACAATACCTAGAGAGGAAATTCTGGGGATGGACGGACAGACAGACAGACTTACCTGTATGAAGGTGTGGTATCACCAGACACAAGAGAGAGACAGAAGGACAGAGACAGACAGAATGGCTAATGTACCGACAGAGGGAGATTTATACGGAGAGGTGGAGGGGTGCTGTGTGTGTGTGTGTGTGTGTGTGTGCTGTCTGAATGAGTATGTGTGTATGCATGCTGTGAGAATTACTGAGTGTCCGAGTATACAATACAAGAATAACTGTGAGTCTGTGTGCACAAATGTGCAGATTTGCGCGTGTGTGTGGTCAGGGCTGGGGGCCACGGGCGGATTAAGCAGAGGCAGAAAGATGAGCACCTCGCAGGATTAGGGGAGAACAGAGGGATGACCTCACTGGACAAATGGAGGGGCGTCACAGGTGGAGAGGGGGGTGACAAAATGAAAAGGGAGGGTGTGACAGATGAAGGGACAGAAAGCTGGCAGAGAACAACTGGCAGGAGGAGGGGGTGACAGAGGAGAAGCTTTTTCTAAAATACAATGGTTATTTTACTTTCATTCATTATAACTGACCCTACAGGCAGTGGGGAGTTAGCCGTAGCACTGGTAGCTCATACAGAGGTGAGGAAAGGATGGATGACCAGAGGAGGTAACAGGAAGTAGAATACAGAGGCAGAAAGTGTAAATGATTGGAATTGGAACTAGTAACAGAGAACAGAGAATGAAAGTGGAAAGAAGGCAGAGAGAGGAGGAATATCCACATTGTTGGTTGTGATAAAGGGCCATCGAGGGAACAGTGACGACTACCGTTATGTAAGGCTGGGCCCTGAGGAAAGTGTCGGGGTGAGGCGGTAGGGAGGGGGGAGGGGAGGGGAGGGGGAGTCCAGCTAGCCCGGGGAGAGGAAGGCCTGCAGCAACGAGCCAGCTGTTACTGTAAAGCTACAGCATCCACAGCAAGCACATATGGCAATACACACATTTGCTTTCCTGATGAGTTTGATGAGAAGACTGATACCACCACGCTCATGTCTCTACAACAGATACGAAGCTACAGCCAACTATAGCCAGCTAGCTTAGAGTAGCTTAGCACAAACAGCTCGTTCAGCTAGGGTGTTTGTGATAACAAATGACGAAGTCTGATGACGTCGTGAGGCAGTGTGGGGTCATGGGAGTGTTCAGTCAGCTTCTCCCAGTTAGGATTCCTTCAGTGTTCATTGAATAAAGTAGTTCCACCTTAAACATCAGTGTTTCTTTGCCGCTGTTTGGCAGACAAACAACGTCCTGGAGGGGCTGCTAGTCCAGCTGCTGCTAATGTTAGCTTAGCTTGTTTCTCTGATACGATCCAGACATCCGATGACTCGAATCCATAGGTGGTGCTATTAAGAGGTTAGGGGACACTTAGCTTCTATAAAATTATTACTGAAAAAAAGAAGTATTACCAACTATAGTGTTATGAGCATCACATTACACTGATCCGCCATTCACACATTGGTATTCAGTGAAGGCTGATTAGGCTGTTATTGTCCTGAGATCAGCTTCTCTGTCACACGTCACTACCTCACTCCAGGAGCCCCCCTTTCCCGTTATCTTTTACAGTGTAAAATTAGTAAACTGAATTAGTTTGTTAAATTGGGAAATTATAGATTTGTTTTCATATGTCCTCAGGTGTTGGATAACTTTTTTAATCAATTGGCAGATTGTGCTGCTTTGAAACCATCAGTGGTGTGTTTAAATTAATAATCAGGTGGAAACTGTGCTGACTGACTGTGTGGCCTCGTCTGTTTCATCCTTTCTCTTTAAATTTGATCTGCTGCTGTTGTGGTCTGGGCAGACTAATGTGCTTGCTTGTCACAACTGTCTGCCATTTGGTGCTGAGCACGTAGTGTCCAGTGGATTTATCAGCAATTTTCCCCCTTAAAATGTGACCAGACCACTGTAAACAGTGTCTATGGAATTTATTTTTTAAATAAATGTTTACTTTCGGATACACCCACTTTAGGTGTGAGAACAGAGCGAGCCGAACAGATGTGGATGCTTAGCAACAGGAAGAAGAGAGAGATAAATGAAGAGTGAGGGAGGGGAGCGCCTGACAGAGGGCTGACCAGAGCAGACCAAGAATAGAAGTGTGACTGCGTCACTCATTTGCTGTTCCATGAAAGGGGAGGTTTCCAGTTCACAGAAAGAACAGCGGATAGAAAGAGCCCACACAAAAATCATTCATTATACATCTGAAACTGATTGTAGTTTTGGTTCCAATGCACCCTTAATGGGTCTCACGTTGTGGAGGTCACTGGGTTTGCTTAATGAAAGTATTTAAAAGGTCATATAACAATAACCTCACCTGGTAGAGCTGGAGCCCAATGTAACAAGGCTGAGTCCTTACTTCAGTGGCCATCAGTTTGAGTCCAACCTGTTGCCCTTTGCTGGATGTCACCTCATCCCCTCTCTCTTTCCCCCTTCAATTCAATTCAATTCAATTCAATTTTATTTGTATAGCGCCAATTCATAACAGAAGTTATCTCAGGACACTTTTCAAATAGAGCAGGTCTAGACCGAACTCTTTAACATTAATTACAGAGACCCAACAGTACCACCATGAGCAAGCACTTGGCGACAAGGGCAAGGAAAAACTGCCTGTTAAAAGGCAGAAACCTAGGACAGATCCTCCGGCTCTAGGTGGGTGGTCGTCTGTCTCGACCAGTTGGGGTGAAAGAGAGAGAGAGAGAGAGAGAGAGAGAGAGAGAGAGAGAGAGAGGCAGAGAGAGAGAGCGAGAGACAGACAGACAGACAGACAGGTGCACAGCAACAACAGTATTGGCAATGGCAGTCAAGCAGGACCATGGCAGGAGGCTCCACCAGGATCCATGAGAACCTGCGAGACGAGAAAGCACAAGAACTCCGGGGAAGAAGTGGAGTTAGTAACATGCATTAATGGGACATGAATGAGTGCAGAAAGAGAGAGGAAGGGAGGAGCTCAGTGCACCATGGGAAATCCCCCGATAGTCTAGGCCTATAGCAGCATAACTAAGGGATGGTTCAGGACTCACCTGATCCAGCCCTAACTATAAGCTTTATCAAAGAGGAATGTCTTAAGCCTACTCTTGAATGTGGTGAGGGTGTCTGCCTCCCGAACCACAACTGGAAGCTGGTTCCACAGGAGAGGAGCTTGGTAACTGAAGGCTCTGGCTCCTGTTCTACTTTTAGAGACTATAGGAACCACAAGTAGCCCAGCAATCAGAGAACGTAGTGTTCTAGTGGGGTAATAGGGTACTATGAGCTCTTTGAGATATGAAGGGGCCTGACCATGAAGAGCTTTATAGGTGAGGAGGAGGATTTTAAATTCTATTCTACATTTTACAGGGAGCCAATGCAGAGAAGCTAGTACAGGAGAGATGTGATCTCTTTTTCAAGTTCCTGTCAGTACTCGTGCTGCAGCGTTCTGAATTAATTGGAGCGTTTTAATGGACTTATTGGGGCAACCTGATAATAAAGAGTTGCAGTAATCCAGCCTTGAAGTAACAAATGCATGGATTAGTTTTTCTGCATCTGTCTGTGATAGGATGTGTCTAATTTTTCTAATATTACGTAAATGAAAGAAGGCGGTCCTAGAGGTCTGCTTTATGTGGGAGTTAAATGACAAATCCTGATCAAAGATAACTCCAAGATTCCTGACAGTGGTGCTAGAGGCCAAGTTAATGCCATCTAGAGTAACTATATCTTTAGACAATGAGTCTCTAAGGTTTTTGGGGCCAAGAACAAGAATTTCGGTTTTTTCTGAGTTTAACATCAGAAAATTGCAGGTCATCCAGGATTTTATGTCCGTAAGACATTTGGGGCGGAAGAGCATGTCGTTGTCAATCCTTGAGCAAGATAATTGATTAATTTCATTGGTGTGTGATTGTGTATGAAGTTAGTATCTGTTCGATGACTTTCCATCACTGAATAACATTGGTGAAAGGGTTAATGTGAGTGGGGAAAATAAAGGCGCTATACAAGTACAGGTCCATTTACCATTTGTTATTTAGATAATTGATTAATGATTAAGTGATTCCTAATAATGTTGCCTAAAGGGAGCATATATAAAGTAAATAGTATTGGTCCAAGTACAGAACCTTGTGGAACTCCATGACTAACTGTAGTATTTATTGAAGATTCATCGTTAACATGTACAAACTGCGAGCGATCTGAAAAATATGACTTAAACCAGCTTAGTGCGGTTCCTTTAATGCCAATTTGATGCTCAAGTCTCTCTAAAAGAATATTATGGTCAATGGTGTCAAATGCAGCACTAAGATCTTATAATACAAGTACAGAGACAAGTCCATTGTCAGAAGCAATCAGAAGGTCATTAACTTTTATTAACTTTAACCAGAGCTGTCTCTGTGCTATGATGAACTCTAAATCCTGACTGAAAATCCTCAAATAAACTATTGTTATGTAGAAAGTCACACAACTCTTTGGCGACTACTTTCTCCAGAATCTTAGAGAGGAAGGGGAGGTTAGAAATCGGTCTATAGTTGGCTAAAACCCCTGGGTCAAGAGTGGGCTTTTTAAGAAGGGGTTTAATTACAGCTACTTTAAAGGACTGTGGTACATATCCTGATAATAAAGAAAGATTAATCATATCCAGTAAAGAAGTGCCAATTAAGGGAACAACTTCTTTAAGCAGCCTAGTTGGGATCGGGTCTAACAGACAGGTTGATGGCTTTGATGAAGAAATGATTGAAGTTAACTGATGAAGATCGATAGCAGAAAAACAGTCTAAATATATATCTAAGTTTACATTGACAGAAGTCCCTGAACTTGGAGAGCCACTGATAACTGTTGATGGCAGTTGGTGATTAATTTTTTCTCTAATAGTAATAATTTTATTATAGAAGAAGCTCATGAAGTCATTGCTACTTAAGTTTATGGGGATATGTGGCTCAATAGAGGTGTGACTCTCTGTCAGCCTGGCTACAGTGCTGAAGAGGAACCTAGGGTTGTTCTTATTTTCCTATTAGTGCGAGTAATGGCTCCTCTGGCATTACGGAGGGCCTTTCTATAAATTTTAAGATTATCTTGCCAATTTGAGCGATATTCTGATAATTTGGAAGAGCGCCATTTCCTTTCAGATTTTCTAGCTATTTGTTTTAACTGGCGGGTTTGGTGGTTGTACCACGGTGCTAGTCTCCTATGTTTTAATAATTTCCTTTTTATAGGAGCGATAGAGTCTAATGTTGATCGTAGTGAGCCTGTAGCACTATCGACAAGATTTATCAATTTCAGAGGGACTAAAGTCGTTATAGGATTCTGTTAAATTCAGACATGGCATTGAATTAAACACTGAAGGAATCTCCTCCTTAAATTTAGCTACAGCACTGTCAGATAGACATCTGCTGTAGGAAGTTTTGCCTAATGGCTTATAATCTAATAGTAACGATTCAAATAATGGTCAGATAGGAAAGGATTATGTGGGAAGACTATTAAATGTTCAATATCAATGCCATATGATAAAACAAGGTCAAGAGTGTGATTAAAACAATGAGTTGGTTTATTTACACTCTGACAGAAGCCAATTGAGTCTATTAATGATATAAATGCATTACTAAGGCTGTCATTGTCAACATCCACATGAATATTAAAATCACCTACAATAATTACTTTATCTGATTTAAGGACTAAACTTGATAGAAACTCTGAAAATTCAGATATAAAATCAGAGTACGGTCCAGGAGCACGGTACACTATAACAAATAGAACTGGCTGCAGTGTTTTCCAGTTTGGGTGAGAAAGACTAAGAACAAGGCTTTCAAATGAATTATAATTTAGTTTAGGTTTAGGGTCCATTAAAACGCTCGAATCATATATGGCTGCCACTCCACCTCCTCGGCCTGTGCCTCGAGGAATGTGAGTATTAATATGACTGGGGGGGGTGGATTCATTTAGGCAAACATACTCCTTGTGGGACAACCAGGTCTCAGTAAGACAAAGTAAATCAATTGAATGAATCAATTTGATTCAATGTCGCCCGCTCTGGCCCCAGGGATACATTTAACTATGGCCGCTGGCTTCGCTAACTTCACGTTTCTGACTATGGAGCTGCCAATAACCAGAGTTGGTTCCTCAGCGGGTGTGTCGCTGAGTGGGGAAAATGTATTAGAAACGTGAATGGGTTGGTGGTGACCTGTGGGCTTCGCCGTTCTAGTCTTCCTTCGCTCAGTCACCCAGCCTCCCTGTCTTCCCGGCTGCTCGGGAACTACCGGGGGAACTACAGAGCTAACAGAAGCTACCTTCGGTCGGACCACACCGGCTGCTGGGGGCTGGCTAACTATAGCGGCTAGAGATATCTCTGTGGTGCGGTACCGTTCCTCTAACTCACTAAGCCTCGCCTCCAGCGCAGTAAATAAACTACATTTAATACAGGTACCATTATCATTAAAGGAGGCAGAGGAATAACTGAACCTTCCTGAGCTCGGGTCAGGCTGTGCTGGACTGGGTCCTGTTATGTGGCAGCATATCATTTGTATACTAATCAGATTTATTGCAGGTAGGTTTTTACACATACGAGGAATTTGTCTTGGTGCAATGGTGCATAAAATTTACAAATCCCAAAAAAATATATAAATCACACTAAGAATAAAGTACTTTTAAAATATAAATAAATAAAGATAAGAAAGATAAGAAAAGATAAGAAGATTGTACAGAAGATGAGAGTGCATTAATGTAATGCATACTGTATATACAGGGTGGGTTTAAGTGTCAGTGTCAGTGAGGGGTCCGGGCCTTGTTAATGAGGCCAGCTGCAGATGGAAGAAACAGTTTCTGTGGCGAGAGGTGTTGGTCCTGATGGACCAAAATATGTTTTTTTAACTTACAAAATTTAGTTAGTTTTATTTAAAATATTCGAGGTAGTCGGTTTCGACAGTTTTTTTAAGTTAAATTAACGTACGTGTTCGAAGCAAAGATTCCAGTTCACATTGTTCCACTGTTATAACTGTTCTGTTATCTGTTATGTGCTTTACAAAGTTAATGTTAAACATCTCTCTTGTTTCTGCGCTTTGTAACTTCCGTGAAAGGGTACTGTGTTACATGTTTACTTCAACATAGGCCTACAGGTTTTTTTTGGAGAAATAAGTGAGGAAAGTGCAAATGTGCATGTTTTTGTTCATATTTAATTTATTTCATTCATATTTATTGTTATTTATTTTACTTATTGTTTTATTATGTATTGCACATAATACATTTGGGATAAATGGCCAGTATTTGTCATGTGATTTGCCTTAAGTGTAATAATATTTTGACTGAAAAAAAAAATTGCCAATAAGAAATGATCAGTATCGGTATCGGTATCGATGAAATTGTAAGAAAAAGTATTGGTATTTTATCAAATCCTAAAATTGTGGTATCGCCCATACCTAATTTCTTTCACCACAATGTTGTTTTCACCCATTTTCACAATCAATCAACAAAATGGTCATGACTGGCTCCTTAGAAGTTAGGTCATTAAACTGGTGCCGCTAATGTGCAATAAGTCGATTAAGTGCAATACCCGGGTCAAGCAATACTGTGGAATGTGTTTACACATATGTTTAGATTTACATTTACTTTGTATATAGGCTCTTATTATTTCATTATATCTTTTTAGGCTCTTATTATATTTCTACTATCCATTTTTAGTTTTACTTTTTACTGTATTTATATACCTAAACATACCTTCTATTCTGTATATTGTGTTAGATATTGTATACAAGTACTATTCTTTAACGCTGTGTGAGTGGAACAACCCCCGGGGATTAATAAAGCATTTTTGATTGTGATAGAAATAAAATGTAATTGAAAAACATGGAACCTGTAGGTTTGAGTACCTCTACCTATTCTGGCTGCTGAAGGCTGGTGAAAGATCTGGGTGTGGCTCTTAGAAGAGAAACCCTCAACAGCTATAGCATCACTGAGATTCGTCAGGGCTTCTGGCAAGCTGCTCACTGGGCAACTTGCCAACTGCAGATGAAGGGAAACCTCCAACTGCCACTGCAGGAATGTAAAGCAAGTTGTATAAAAATAACACACCTGGCAAGGGATTTTTTATTTGTGGCCAAATAATGTTTTACTTACTAAATTTTATCATCAAAAGTGATGACAAAAGCTGGTGCCGACTGCTTAAAAGTCATTAACTTGAACGATATAAAACGTATTTACATTTGAGGTCATATTTGCTGAAACTTTCACAGTATCCTTCAACCAAAAGCGTCTTTATATCTTTAACAGCTCTGATTGGTTGCATTGGTCTTGCAAATACCATTAGGATCACTAGGAGGAACCAGAGGAACCTGATTTTTTCACAAATGATCTGTCTCATGTTCAACTGTCAGGATATAGTGTTTGTGTATAGTGATAAGTTACAGTGAATATGACAAAAAAATATTTTTATAAAAATTACCTACTGCAGCTTTACGGTCTCTTTTTCATGATTTATTATTGACCCCAATCAGAAACCTGTTCCAGCATGAAGAAAACCATTTGACAATGATCAGGACCTGCTGCTTAGGGACTGGAATCAAGAATCAGCTCCACATTGTCTGATTAATCAGAATTGTATGACTCCAGGCTCTCAGTTCCTTTTACTGATGCCAGCATGTTTATATGACAGTTGCACACTGCAGGACAATGATGTCAAACTCATGTGTCTAGACTGCTGGAAACTTCCAACAAGGAGGAGTCATGGCAGAGAGGAAATAACAGTCCAGAAAGAGACTACAACAGTACTAACTGCAATGTCAGTAAAATGACCACTTCACTTCAGAGCATGTGTGTTACCAAGGGAGCAGCATTAGTATTAGCAGATGCTTCTCTTTAACACAAGCTATTGCACATCACAGTCATATGCATGCACTCTGTTTCTGCACTGTGTTTAGACTCAGAAAAGTTACACTGACGCTGAAAAACAGAAAATTGATCTGGAATCAATAAGGACATCAGACTGATAAGCAAATAATATTGAAAATAACATTGGTATCAATAAAATCTTACCAATTCCAATCCCTACTGCTGCTGTTTTAATGGTTATTTAAGTCATGAATCAAATAACAAATAATCATTATACAAAACTTTATAAAAACACTTTTATTGTCACAGGATCATTTTGAAACAAAAAAAAATAAATATCTGGACATTATTTCTGTAGTTTCATGAAGACACCACAGGCATGGTGACTGTGAGAATCTGGAAAAAAGAGAACAGGAAAAAAGTATGTTAAGATACACAGTGTGTGCACATTATGTAATAATAACAAGTGGGAACCTATATGCATACAATGTGGGTCTGTCTGCTAAGGTGTGAAGTATTCTTGGTCTAGAGTTGAACTTGTGTGTTATCTGATGTAAGAGGAACTACTATTCTTATTTTACCTAATGTCTAACTTTTTTAATTCATGTCACCAAATCTCAGAGAAGAAGGTCTAACTGCTGCTAAAACAAACTGTTAGTATTATTATTAATTAACTCCTCATAAACTCCAGACCTCCCAATGGATCCTCTCTATAGCAGACATCAACTCTCTGGAACTTTCTACAGCTCGAATCAATGAAGCAAAGGGAAATACAACTGATACCCTGTCCAGGTCACTGGAGAAAGTTAAGCTAATTTATATAAGCTAGCTTATATTTTATGAAATAGTGGGCCTTATACAATAAACTATATACAAATAAATGTTCTTTTATTTTTGTTCGTATCCCTGATTTTTTCTTATTTTGTTAGTACCCACTGATTTCTGGGAATTACCAATGTTTTCTTCTCTTAGGTGAGAGAACATTGTACAAGTGGCCAAAGGCACTTGTTTTTCCAGTACTAGGTACACTGTACACTTAAGTGTGTCAGAATGTTTGCGCACAATCATAGCCTGCTCTTGGTGGTGCTGTTTGCTTTGTCTCAGTGCTACAGTATAAGATTGTTGTGTGAAGTATACTATACTTCAGTGATACCTGAGTGCTGTTGTTGTACTGGGCCACACTGTTCTCCTGGTCGATGAGGAAGGGATGGAAGATGTCGAGATGGAAGAGCGAGGGCCGAGCCGTCAACACCAGCCGGTCCTCTCCAACGTCCAGAACCAGAGAGCGAGATGAAGTCTGCATGGAAGACAAGTTCACCCAGCTGACTACTGCACTGAGCTTTTGACAACTGGGAAACAAGCTGTTTCCGAACTACCGTTTATAAATAGGAGGAACAAAAAGTGGAAAACAACCCATTTTCCATTTTATCCATTTTGAAACATATCAAACTTGCGGGTTGTTTCTCTGTTTTTTGTTCCATTTCTGATAACTGGTATTTGGGAAACAGCTCATTTCCTGATTTTGGTTTCCTCATTTCAAAACGAAAATCTGTTGGCTGCAAAATACACTGACCATCAACATGTACTGTGTATGATGTGATGTGATGACATAAGCGGGGCAGCAATTATGATATTCTGGAAAGCCAGAGGATAGATTCAACGTCCTTTCATGGCTTTCATGGTTTTTATACTCTGTGGGAGACTCAGTAGGGGCACTATAGTATGCTGGAAGAAATAATACTGATACAGTGACAACTTGTGACACATAACCTGTTAATATTGTGCAGGCCTCTGTTCATCGGTCTACGTAACAGTGAGTTGTTGTTTGAGCTTGTTTCGTCTTCTCAGCAATTTGAGCGTTTTCCTTCCTTGAAGCACTTTTGATAGGTACTGACCTCTGCAGACCAGGAACACCCCACAAGAGCTGCAGGTTTGGAGATGCTCTGACCCAGTCGTCTAGCCATCACAATTTAACCCTTGTCAAAGTTGCTCAAATCCACACGCTGCCCATTTTTCCTGCTGCTAACACATCAACTCTGAGGACAAAATGTTCACTTACTGCCTGATATATCCCACCCACTGACAGGAGCCATGGTAACCAGATTTATAGTGTACTGCTCTCCAGACCCGTACTCTGAGTTTTTATCAAGTTTAGTCCTTAAATCACATAAAGTAATTATTGTAGGTGATTTTGATAATCATGTGGATGTTGACAATGACAGCCTTAGTAATGCATTTATCTCATAATTAGACTCTATTGGCTTCTGTCAGAGTGTAAATAAACCCACTCATTGTTTTAATCACACTGGACCTGGACCTTGTTCTATCATATGCTTTTCTTTCCTATCCTTTTCTATCTGACCATTATTTAATAACTTGAATTCGTATTATTAGATTATAAGCCATTAGGCAAAACTTCCTACAGCAGATGTCTATCTGACAGTGCTGTTGCTAAATTTAAGGAGGAGATTCCTTCAGTGTTTAATTCAAGTCTGAATATAAAAGAGGACTCCTATAATAACCTTAGTCCCTCCCAAATTGATAATCTTGTTAATAGTGCTGCAGGTTGAGAACAACATTAGACTCTATCGCCCCTATAAAAAGGAAATTATTAAAACATCGGAGGCTAGCACCTTGGTACAACCACCAAACCCGCCAGTTAAAGCAAATAACTAGGAAATCTGAAAGGAAATGGCGCTCTTCCAAATTATCAGAATATCGCTCAATTTGGCAAGATAATCTTAAAACTTATAGAAAGGCCCTCCGTAATGCCAGAGGAGCCTATTACTCAGCACTAATAGAAGAAAATAAGAATAACCCTAGGTTCCTCTTCAGCACTGTAGCCAGGCTGACAGAGAGTCACAGCTCTATTGAGCCACATATCCCCATAAACTTAAGTAGCAATGACTTCATGAGCTTCTTCTATAATAAAATTATTACTATTAGAGAAAAAATTAATCACCAACTGCCATCAACAGTTATCAGTGGCTCTCCAAGTTCAGGGACTTCTGTAAATGTAAACTTAGACATATATTTAGACTGTTTTTCTGCCATCGATCTTCATCAGTTAACTTAATTTCTTCATCAAAGCCATCAACCTGTCTGTTAGACCCGATCCCAACTAGGCTGCTTAAAGAAGTTGTTCCCTTAATTGGCACTTCTTTACTGGATATGATTAATCTTTCTTTATTATCAGGATATGTACCACAGTCCTTTAAAGTAGCTGTAATTAAACCCCTTCTTAAAAAGTCCACTCTTGACCCAGAGGGTTTTAGCCAACTATAGACCGATTTCTAACCTCCCCTTCCTCTCTAAGATTCTGGAGAAAGTAGTTGCCAAAGAGTTGTGTGACTTTCTACATAACAATAGTTTATTTGAGGATTTTCAGTCAGGATTTAGAGTTCATCATAGCACAGAGACAGCTCTGGTTAAAGTTAATAATGACCTTTTTTTTTTTTTGTAAGTATATTTTTTTGGGGCTTTTATTGCCTTTACTGTAGTGACAGCTGAAGATAGACAGGAAAGGGGGACAGAGAGAGGGGATGACACGCAGTAAAGGGCTGCAGGAGCAAGGACTCAGCCTCGGTACATGGGTCGCCAGCTCTACCCACTGAGCTATCCGGGCACCCCAAAGGTAATAATGACCTTTGGGGCGCCCGGATAGCTCAGTGGGTAGAGCTGGCGACCCATGTACCGAGGCTGAGTCCTTAAAAAAATAAAATAAAATAATGACCTTTTGATTGCTTCAGACAATGGACTTGTCTCTGTACTTGTATTATTAGATCTTAGCGCTGCATTTGACACCATTGACCTTAACTTGAGCATCTAATTGGCATTACACTAAATTACACAAAAGTTAGTCATGGAGTTCCACAAGGTTCTGTGCTTCAGCTACCAAGCTCCTCTCTTGTGGAACCAGCTTCCAGTTGTGGTTAGGCTTAAGACGTTCCTCTTTGATAAAGCTTATAGTTAGGGCTGGATCAGGTGAGTCCTGAACCATCCCTTAGTTATGCTGCTATAGGCCTAGACTATCGGGGGATTTCCCATGGTGCACTGAGCTCCTCTCTTCCTCTCTCTTTCTGCACTCATTCATGTTCCATTAATGCATGTTACTAACTTCACTTCTTCCCCGGAGTTCTTGTGCTTTCTCGTCTCGCAACTGTTGGGTCTCTGTAAATAATGTTATAAGGAGTTTGGTGTGTCCTGAGATAATTTCTGTTATGAATTGGCACTACACAAATAAAATGTAATTGAATTGAATTGAATTGAGTGTTAGTGTTATTCACCTCACCTGTCAGTGCTCACTGTGCTATGGCTGATCGGTTTAAAACCAGGACTTCCAGAAGATTGCTGCAAGTTTGTTCCATGCGCAGATTATTGTGGGACTAAAATACAATCCAAATTTTCCAGGACAACAGAGATTATTTCCATGATATTTTTGTAATTTGTCATTTTTCTTTCCAGGATGCATTCTAACGTAACCTGTTACCCCACAAACTAATGTTGTTACAGCACCCATTGCTGTTCAAGGCTGCTGTTTTAGTAGCGATGGAAAGTTTTGTTCTCCACTGATGCTCTCTGCTACAAAGAGTGTGTTTGTGTATGTCTCACCACTCCAGGTAGCTTTATTTCTGCAATGAGGTACTCAGGGTCACCAGCAGGGGGCTCAACAAGCAAAGTGAACTCTGGCCTGGAGACAGTGGCAAGAAAGAGGAGTTGGACAATAGAGCGAGGAGTTAATGAGGGATAGGAAACTATGACATACTATGTTTTATAACAGCAATTTATAAAAATAGACCAGGAGAAAGAAAAAGCAGGAATGTGCAGAGCACTTACATTAGGTAAATAAGCTATACTATAGGTTTACCTTTTAGCTGTAGCAGTGGAGCTCTCCCTGAGGAAAAGTAACAGATTGTCAAATCACTCACTGAAAAACACAGCATCTCAGTCTTTTTAAAATTATATTTAGCCTCCTTAGCAGTTTTCTCAGGAATGTGCCCTTTAAGCTCTGAGTGCCTGGTTTTCTGTTTTTCTTTATTTTGACTGAAACCATTTTCTGTACTATTTTCCTAAGTGAAAACCTAGACAGATTAATGTGACTTTGTGGCAAAACTGAGTACACTAAAAGACTAAAATTTAATTTTTTTCTCTGGCTCGCTTGAATCCATTTATACAGAAAGACAGAGAGACGGAGACAGAGTCGGTCAGTGCGACGTACTGAGGCTGCAGCTCTTGAATCCCTGGTCTGCTTTTCGTCCGGATGCTCTGCTCGCCAACAGAACCCAAGAATTTCCTGTTCTTCAGCACCTTCCAGTCTGCAGAGAGAGACAAAAAGTATCTCAACATCTAACACTAACATGAAGAGAAGGTTTAACAAAGAAAAACCAACAAAATCTCACCTCTACTCAGCTCCAGATTGTATTTGTTCTCTAAGCCCTCTAAAGACACCAGAATAACAAACTGCTGGAATAAAGGGTCCTTCTACAAGACACAAACATACACACACATTTCAGTTACACATTATAAGGCGAGGACATCAGTTTGTTTTCACGCGGCATTTCTATTCCATGCAGAGAAGGTTTGAATGAATAAAAACTATGGCAGTAGGAGGGCTTCTGTCATGCGTAGAAATCAGCAGAACAAAGAGGCTTCACAATTAAAAGAGACATTTCAAAAAAACATAATGCATTCCACAACCCACAGCTAGCCTAACTAGAGAGACTCAACACTGGCAACCATCGCTATTGAGGTTCTGCAAAATACAGAGGAAAAGTGCCAGTTGACAAAATGTTTTTTTTTTAACTTGGTGTAATCGCAACTGCTTTTTACAATTGGAGAATGTAAGAATTGCTGTAGAATGTACAATGATAAATAAAAATGTAACCGTTATTTATTTCCGTATAAGTTCTCGTCAAAGCCACAGGAGAGGAGCTGCATGTGGCCCCGCAGCCGCAGGTTGCCTACCCCTTATTCACAGGAACACAACCTAGCAATGGTCACTGTTTCCCTTTCCCAGCTGAAGTACAAATTAGCATCATGCTCTATAACAGTGGTTCCCAACCTGGGGGCCAGGACCCCCACTAGGGGTTGACAACTTAACAATGGGTCGAGACTTTGTTAGTTTTTATGGCTTTAAAAAAATGCCTGAATTAGAAAAGTTCAAACAACCAAAGAGCTAACAAAACAATAAGAAAACACAAAATCTAAGCTTATTGAGTGTTTAAAAAATGTTTAATATGCATAATACAGACAGAATTGTAGAAAATCTTTCTAGAAATGTCAGGAAAACTCATCTCTGATCAATAGTCACAGGAAATAATCTTCTCAAAATGTATCCAAATCTCTGGTTTTACACAAACTCAATAAAGTTTAGGCAATAATAAAAATGGTTGAGAACCACTTATCCATAAAAATATATCATATATTCAATTACAAATGTGTCTATGATTGTAGTTATTTTAATGTAGCTCAGCTGCAAAAAAACCTTTAAAACATCACTCTAAATTGTACAAGAGATTGCATAAACTAAGCAGGGTGAATGTAAATGGTAAAGGGACCTGTACTTGAATAGCGCCTTTCTAGTCTTCCGTCCACTCAAAGCGCTTTTACACTATGTGCCACATTCACCCTTTCACACACACTCACACACTGATGCACGGCATTGGGAGCAATTTGGGGTTCAGTATCTTGCTCAAGGATACTTCGACATGTGGGGACACAGGGATCGAACCCACAACCTTCCGATTAAGGAACAACCCACTCTTCCTCTGAGCCACAGCCGCCCTTGTGAATAGTGAATACTTCTTACATAAAAGAAAGCGAGGGAAACTTCGTAATAGTGGGTTGAAGTAGTCGACTCGAAGAGTGGGATATTGTAATCGATAAACAATGGAAATCAACAAACTCACAGATAGTTAACTGGAAATGGTCAGATAATTTGTCACACCAGTCTACATGTCAGCAGACAGCATCATGGAGAGGCTGTGGGACTGTCAAGGCGAACCATTATCATGTGTTTCGGGAATGTTCTGGCAGTCGCAGCTAATATAAGATTGACTTTTGTTTTCAGGTCCTGTACTTGGGTAAGATGCCACCACAGCTTCTTGGCTTTTTAAAAGCTTGCTTGCTCAGAATAATGTTGATTGCCAGCAAGAAAGCTATTACAAAAAAATGGTTATGTCAAGTGTCACCCACATTAGCAGACCGGTTCAATGTGATGCACGACACTGTTGTGATGGAAAAATTTATTAAATTTTTTATTTGCTTTGGGACTGAAGACAGATACACTATATGGACAAAAGTATTTGGCCACACCTGTTAATTCTTGAATTCAGGTATTTCAATCAGACCCCTTGCCACAGGTGTATAAAGTCAAGCACCTAGCCGTGCAGACTCCATTTGCAAACATTTGTGATGTAAAATGGGTCGTTCTGAAGAGCTCAGTGACTACAAGCGTGGTGCTGTGATAGGATGCCACCTTTGCAAAAAGACTGTTCGTGAAATTTCAACCCTGCTGGATACTCCACGGTCAACTGTAAGTGATATTATTAGAAAGTGGAAGTGTTTAAGAACAACAACAACAACAACAACAACTCAGCCAAGAAGCTGAAGACCACGTAAAATCACAGAGCGGGGTCAACTACTGCTAAGGCGCATGGTGTGTAAAAGTCGCCAACGATCTGCTGATTCCATAGCTGAAGAGTTCCGAACTTCCACTTGCATTAATGTGAGCACAAAAATTGTCCGGTGGGAGTTTCATGGAATGAGTTTCCATGGCCGAGCAGCTGCATGCAAGCCTTCCATCACCAAGTCCAATGCCAAGCGTCGGATGGAGTGGTGTAAAGTGCATCATCACTGGACTGTGGAGCAGTGGAAACGTGTTCTGTGGAGTGACGAATCACGCTTCTCTGTTTGGCAGTCAGATGGTCGAGTCTGGGTTTGGCTGATGTCGGGAGAATGTTACCTGACTGACTGCATTGTGCCAACTGTGAGATTGGTGGAGGAGGGATAATGGTATGGGGCTACAAAGACATGGTTTGATAAGTTCGGAGTGGAAGAACTTGACTGGCCCACACATCGAGCACCTTTGGGATGAACTGGAACGGAGATTGTGAGCCAGGCCTTCTCATCCAACATCAGTGTCCGACCTCATAAATGCTCTACAGAATGAATGGGCACAAATTCCCACAGAAACACTTTGTGGAAAGCCTTCCAAGAAGAAAGGAAGCTGTTATAGCTCCAAAAGGGGGGGCCAACTCCATATTAAAGTATGTGTATTTAAATAAAATGTCATTACAATCCCTGTTGGTATTATGGTCAGGTGGCCGGATACTTTTGTCAATAAAGTGTATATTTGAAAAAAGTTGGAGAAGACTAATTGAGTTTATCAGCCCACTCAGAACAGATTTCAAGTAAAACATGAACTGTACTGCAACGCCCCTGTTTCTCTGCTACACACATACTGTACTGGTTATTTGTCTGTTTGTTCATTTAGTTTCATTTCAAAAACAAGATTGTAAAAGATGTTTTGTACTAACTGACTTTTGACTTAAATACAAAATATAATAATAGAAAAATAAAAACCTTCACTCTGAAATCAACAGACGCGCTCTTAAGTGTAACATACTTTAACATAGCACATCCCAAGCAAAAATAACATTAACCATTTCCTCTTACCCATAATAATAGTTACAAGATTATATAATTGGATGGGTGGAATAAAAAGACGGCACACACAGACACACCTGGCACTTTTGGAAGAAATCCTGGTTGATGACGACGTCATAGGCTGTGCAACCCTGAGAGCCTAACACAAAGAGAAAGACATGAATTCAATGTATCAAAAGTATTTGGATTGACATTAGTTTGCCTGTTCTGATTAGGAGAGTTTAAGAATAGAAAAATAAAGCTCTGAAAGGACTGGAAGCTCTGGGGGTGAAATCGGGCCAAACTAATCTTTCAAATGCTGCCAAACAAAACAACATGGGAACAAATTTAAAAACATTGTGTTAATTTAAGATTAACAGATTAATTCAATTAAATTTTTAATAGGAACTTACATCACCCCTGTGAAGTTCTGATAAAGGGAGAAAAATGTTTGACCTTGTGTTCTACAAGCCAGGAGCTCAATTGCTCTGTTCTATTCAATTTTATTTGTATAGCACCAATTCATAACAGAAGTTATCTCAGGACACTTTTCAAATAGAGTGGTTTTTCATCTTCAAGTTTAACAACGTACTGTTGTCTATTTCTGTGTGTGGCTCGCCAAGGCTCATGGGAACTCTGTAGCCGCTGGGATCCTCTGATTGGAGCAGCTCCACTAGCTCCTCCCTGGAGAGTTCTGGTGGCGGTGGCACTGAGTTTGACTGGCAGATGTTGACAAAGACCTTGTGCTTGCTCGGCTCTGAGTGAGTCTTCACACACATGCCTGGGAAGGAGAGAGAGGAGAGAGAGAAAGAGAAAGCAAAATAAAGAAAGAGAAAGAGAAAGCAAAAGAAAGAATGAAAAAGAGAAAAACAAAGAGAAAGATACAAACAAAAGATAGCCATTTACCCATGAACATGCTTACCAGGTTGTGGTCGGATCACTTTGGAGTCTGGATTTTCAGCCTGCATTTTTCCCATTGTCTAAACAGAAAAACTGCCGTTGAGTAAAATGCCAAACAGTTTTATAAGCAGAAAGTATTGAAAAAGTGAAAAGTGAAAAGAAAAATTTCAGACTGGCCGGACCCACAGTCACATGGATTCTGGAAAGCCACCAAGCAGCAGTCCAAACAAAACTAAATCTCTCTGTGGGAACTGTTGGGTCTCTGTAAATAATGTTATAAGGAGTTCAGTCTGGACCTGCTCTATTTGAAAAGTGTCCTGAGATAACTTCTGTTATGAATTGGCGCTATACAAATAAAATTTAATAGAACAGAGCAATTGAGCTCCTGCCTTGTAGAACACAAGGTCAAACATTTTTCTCCCTTTATCAGAACTTCACAGGGGTGATGTAAGTTCCTATTATCCAATTATACTGAATAAATCTCAGTTGAGAGTTGATGGTTTGAGAGTGTGCTTTTGAACATATTATACCCCATTTATCTGTTAAGACGTCCTCTTGTAAGTTTTGTACCCACTCCTGTTGCTTACCAATCAATAAATCAATCAATTCGATTTATTGTCCTCCAAGGGGGAAAATCATGTCCACATCACTGCACCATACCAACACCATACACTCAACAACAAAACACACCATCCACAATGAACAAATCCACAAAGAAAAACAAACAAACAATCAAATAAATAATACATGACAGGTTTACTGACTCAGCGCACCCCTTCGTTGAGAGCAGCAATAGCTGCAGGGATCAGGCTTTTTTCGTAGTGAATGAGGGGGATGCATTTTTCCTGCTTCTAACACATCATCTTTGAGGACAAAATGTTCACTTGCTGCCTGATATAACCCACCCACTGACAGGAGCCATGGTAACCAGATAATCAGTGTTGTTCACTTCACCTGTCAGTGCTCATGATGTTATGGCTGATCGGTGTATATGTTACTGACAGTGTATGTATGCTAAGTTAGCCACTTCTTGAAAGAAAGAAGGACCTATCAGAGGGACAGTTCATTTTTCCTCGTTTCTTATGAGAGGGGTGGAAACCCTGCCCCCCAGCATTTTGAAAAAAATATGTTTATTTAGTTTCTTCCTGAGAGGTAGGTGGGAAGATACTAGGATACTATTCTAATTTCTTTACCTTAAATATTAAGTTTCCTCGTTTCTTGACTTTGTGCAAAAGTAAGCTAACTGGCTGCTGGTTTCAGCTACATGTTTAACAATAAGATAGAACCTAATTCATCCCAATGGAAACTGTTGAGCAGCAGCGGCAGTACAAAGTAGGAGGGGTAACAAATGATCTAGCATGTGGGGAAATGCATCATGTTTTCTCCACTGGAAGGGTACCCTTGAGAGCATGTTTTCTTGCACACTGGGCCACTGTACTACTCTGACACCACCACTAAAAAAATCGAACTCCAACCCACAGGACAGAGGCAGTCTTCCTGATGAGCTGCATCCTTAGTGTGGGACTGCAGACAGACCAGAGTAGAACATTTTCAAACATGTTCCTGTACAGCAAGACTAACTCTCTTAAAAAATGAAATTATTGATTGATTCACTAACCTTAATTTCTATACACTCCATGGTTTTGCTGCTAAAGTCTAATTTGGTCTGGTCTGACCAGTGATGTTAGCTGACGTTCTGAAGGTAATGCTGTGAAACTGACATTACTGAGTCAGTTTGCTAACTGTATAAATATTCTAGATTTTTGCTTGCTATGCTGTGTTGTGGTGACTGTGATCATGTAGTCTCATTTTAAGCCAATTAAAGTTCAAACAATATTACCTGCAGCAGCAGCTGTTGATAGAGCTCCTCTTGCTGCTGTAACTCCAGCTCGGAGTTCAGGAGTGAAGAGTCTGTCATCACGGCTATGGACAGAAATCAGTCAGTGAACTTGCACAACTTCATGAATTATTTTTGATAATGACAAGGAATCAAATAACTGTAAACTGAAAGGGCTGCTTGGACTGCCATTGTTACCCAAAATCATATTGCAAGATCCCCAAATATTGCCACTCCTACTGTATGAAGATGATTTAACAAGCTCCTCCAGAGCTTTGGAGGATATTATACAGCAGTTTTCACAGGCCAAATCAGTTAAAATAGACTGTGTTCACAAGAATATTGGCAGATTAAAGAGCCCAACCATGTCATTTGCATTCCAGTAAACTGAACAGAAAGCTCAGTTTACTGTGTTCACTGACACACTTTACACTACAAAAGATATGCGGTCAAATGTGTCCCAGAACACCTCAGCAAGTGGTTTGAGTGATCGGATCACAATGTGTTGACGGCAGCTGTTGACACAGTATTTAGAAATGTCCACCTGTGATCAGATCACCCAAGACACATTGTAGTAGCAGGTGTAAACAGACACTGTTTTTCAATGGGCATGTAAAACCTAGTGTAAGACCAATGTTGGCCTAGTTACTCAAAAATGGAAAGTTATTCTGATACACAGTTTCCAGCTAGCTTTTGACAGTCAGCTGGTTGTTTTCATTTAAAAAATATATCCAAAAATGGTATTTTCTTTCTTCTGCTTTGCTGATAAAGTATAGTAGTAAAATTTGATGGTTTTTTTCCAAATTTTCCCACTGTTTAGATCCATGTTTGAGATGAATTCAGGAGCACATTTTTCATGCAGCCTTATCTCTTGGAACTCTCTCTCTCTCTGCCTCTCTCTCTCTCTCTCTCTCTCTCTCTCTCTCTCCCCCAACTGGTCGAGACAGACGACCACCCACCTAGAGCCGAAGGATCTGTCCTAGGTTTCTGCCTTTTAACAGGCAGTTTTTCCTTGCCCTTGTCGCCAAGGTCTTGCTCATGGTGGTACTGTTGGGTCTCTGTAAATAATGTTATAAAGAGTTCGGTCTAGACCTGCTCTATTTGAAAAGTGTCCTGAGATAACTTTTGTTATGAATTGGTGCTATACAAATAAAATTGAATTGAATTGAATTGTTGACGGCAGCTGTTGACACAGTATTTAGAAATGTCCACCTGTGATCAGATCACCCAAGACACATTCTAGTAGCAGGTGTAAACAGACACTGTTTTTCAACGGGCATGTAAAACCTAGTGTAAGACCAATGTTGGCCTAGTTACTCAAAAATGGAAAGTTATTCTATAACTTTACTTACTACTTCCTGCAAACAGTAATTAGTTACACACAAAGAATGGTTGTTGTCTTGGTTACATGACTCGTGGGCTGTTTCCTTTCCCGTCTGGAGACGTTAGCATAGCTTTAGCTTCCTAGCCCTGCATAGTACCCGACTGGCTCCGCTATTTGTTTAAAATAGGTTTACTCTCTGCTGTGTGTCCTTCCCTTCAACGCACGTAAACTGAAATGTGTTTACCTTTCCACCCGTTCCCGCTGTGAGATCACGCTGGTGTTCAAACTCAACGCAGCAGCGAGAACAACACATCCAATGCTTCCGACACGGAACCTTCATAATAAAAGCGCCACCTTCAGAATAAAAGCTCCACTGACTAGACAAGAGCTTTGAGCTGGGTCCTTCTTTATTACCTCATATTTGGACACAGATCACTGAGCAGTTTTTTTAAATGAAAAAAAAAAGACTGAAAAACATATTGATTAATATTTGGTGTGTAGATAGCTACAACTTGACAGCTCTTAGTCAAGGCAGGGAGGACAATAGACAATGGACAGTTTCCTCCTCCTTTTGCACTGACTCCATCTGCACTACCTCTGCTACATGCTGTGACTTTCATTCATTGGTCGACAACCTAACTTTAATTGCACATAGTTTACATTAACATCTAAACAATTAATTTACCTGCACATGTTTCATTTCTATTTTTCCAGTTTATTTTCTCTCTCGGCACATATTGAATTCCTCTGCAAAAGTTTAATCTATCCAATTTAATGTAGGGCTACTGTTCTATAGGTTAATTTTAATTTTAATGTATGAATGTATGTTTAATGTACAGTCAAGCAGAAATTTGAATTTTGACTTAAAGTTACTTTTATTCAACCAGCTAGTTTTTTCTTGATTGGAAATGACACAGGCGTCTCCCAGAAGATAATAAGACGATGTAGGTACAAGAGGCATCATTGTGGAAAAAAATATTTCTCAGCTTTTATTTACATTTGGAAAAAAAGTGGCATGTCCAAAATTATTCATACCCTTCTCAATAATCAATAGAGAAGCCTTTATTGGCTATTACAGCAATCAAACGCTTCCTATAATTGCTCACCAGCTTTTTGCATGTCTCCACTGGTATTTTTGCCCATTCATCTTTAGCAATGAGCTCCAACTCTTCAAGTCAGGACTCTCATGCTACCCTTTCAGTTTTTAGTCTGTGATTGTGAAAATCTTTTGGTGTAAGCCCAGCATTAGTTAAAACCAGACTCGGACAATAATAACAAAATATCCTGACAAATAATCTAAATAAAAACATATTACAGACAGTAGCAGCATTAGAGCTGAAACTCATTTGTTTTAACGGTGACTCAGTCATTATGAAACCATAAATAGAAAAATAATTATCTATAGCTGTGTGAAAAAGTCTAAGACATGAATAACAGGTCTGAATAGATATGCATTCTCATATACGTGTATGTGCACATGTATATATGGCCCTACTTCCTCGTCCGCAGCCAGCCAGCTCCACTCCTCACCAAATTCATGACCTGCAAGAAACAGCAAATGTATCTGTCATGAAGGATGACTTAAGTCTCCAAAGAGCCCTAAGGCCTACCTGCATAACTGTTAATTGAACTTAAAAGATATGCAGATGTTTGAAATTAAAATCATCAATATGTCTCTCTCTCTCTCTCTCTCTCTCTCTCTTCTCTTTCTTTCTCTCTCTCTCTCTCTCTCTCTCTCTCTCTCTCTGATGATGGTAGAATATAAAGAGACATTTATGAATAACCAATTGTCATTTTATCACACATATAGTATGTTTCTTCACATAAACCTTTAAACATACACATATTGCATTCCTCTCACCACATGAAATAAGCTCAGGAACCCAAAAGTGGCCCAGTGAATGATGGAGGAGACAAAGCAGGTCCTCAAAAGGGGACGGAGGGAAAACAACTCCTTAGGCTCTCATATATAGGGTGGTCAACCTAAAAGAGACATGGAAACATTATTAAGTCATCACAAATCGAGTATGAATTCATATAACATTATAAGACACATGACATACTCAACCAATCAGAGACGTCTCAGTAGCCAGAAAGTGGTGAAGTGGAGGCAGAGAGAGAGCAAGTCCTTGAAAATGACTTGTATTTTCTGCTAAAATTCAAAGTATCTCATCTGTATTTACAATACAGCTTGATTCTGCATCTCTATTTAATTAGAGGGAATTTAGAGAGAGGGAAAAAAAAAGAAAAAAAAAAAAAAAACACATAGCGGACCAGACTGGCCCACATTGGGTCAACGGCCCACCGGGACGATGCCCGGTATGCCAGATGGCCAGTCCACCCCTGGCAGTGGGTGGTAGTGACATTCCTTGCTTGATGTGGGAGCAGAAACACATTTGCACAGGACTGGATGGTAGATTCACCATTCACACGTTTCTGGAATGCTGTCTGTTTGCCAACACTAAAAATGCGTGAAGTTGTATCACATCCTGAGAAGGCGTGAATAAACACCAACTGGGAACACAAGTCACTACCCAGGACTTATTTCATCTCACTGATGTTGTACACTTTAGTAGCTTTAGACTTGTCTGAACGAAAATAGAGGCCTCTATTGATTGTCCCAGCATAGTAGAGGAGAAGAATGAGTAAGTCTGTATTTTCAACCAGTGTTGCATATCTGGCTGTTTGCTTATTCAGGGCGGCGCTGGTGACTTGCCCGCTGGCTTTTAGCACAGCAGGAAAATGCGCTAAATCTCCCTTTTGAATATGCATCTTGAACAGCTTCAGTTTGTTGACAAACGTAAACTTTTGATGAGTGCCTTCATTGCCTCCATCATGGCGCAAATTAGCGGGTTCACCCGGGTGTGACGTTCACATCAATGGCAATCGGAGGTGAAGCCGATTAATATCGGGTGTTAGCGGGTTTACATAGGTTTTTTTGGGCAATGTGAAAGGGGCTATACACAACACAAAATTCGATATGAACGTAAGAGCCGCATGAAACCAGGCAAAGAGCCGACCCGCAGCCAGGCCTGGTCTAGACCGTACTCCTGTAACTGTCACTTGTGGTGACTGTGATCGTGTAGTCTCATTTTAAGCCAATTAAAGTTAAAACAATATTATAGTATATAATAGTTACTAATTTTTGGAGTTTTTCTTTCATAATACCCTGATCTGAATTGATTTGATTGATTGGTATGTCTTTGTACAGATTTTCAAAATGTGATCTCCAGATGTCACCGTTTTGGATGGGTAATGTCTGCTGTTGCTTTGTGTTGAACTTTTTCCACATATCCCAGAATTGATTTTGGTTAATGGCATTCTCAATATCTTCAAGTTTTAATTGGGTATAATTTTGTTTTTTGATCCTAATTGTGTATTTATATGTATTTAAAATTTCATTGTATCGAATGCGCAGGGCTGGGTTGTTCGGTTGGCGATGTTTCTCATTTGCTATTTTTCTCAGCTCTTTTCTGATTGTTTTACATTCTTGATCAAACCATTTGTCAGTATTTTTCCTTTTAACAGGTCTCCGTCTTTGCTTTATGAGGTCAGCCCCAATAGCTGCCTCATGAAATATCATATTGATATCCTCAATGGCCTTGTTTACCCCATCTCTGTTAGGGACATATTGATTTTGAGTATATATTTATATGTAATTCATCAGATCAGGGGAGTTTAAAGACTTGATGAATTTGTCTCCACTGTCTGGGGCCCATCTGTAAGAAGGATTTAATTTATACAGCTTACTGGGTTCCCTTTTTGTGTCACTAATTTGACCTGACAATTTAAAGAACACATTAATTTGGTTGTGGTCTGAAAGGGGGGATTGCTGTCTGACAGTGAATGCACTGATAGTTGAGGGGTCCATGTCAGTGATTGCATAGTCTACAACACTAGACCCAAGAACTGAGGAGTATGTGAACCTCCCTAAAGAGTCCCCTCTGAACCTACCATACAGGCCTAAGGCCCGACAGAGATGCTCTATCTCCCTGCCACTTTGATTTAATATTGAGAATTTGAATTGAAAAATTCCGGCATGTATTTGTATGCAGAAGTCATGTTTAAGGCTTGCTGCTAAACAAAACGCTTGTTTTTGGTCCAGAAATTGGATAAACACCGACTTTTTATGAGGAAATGCAAAAGGAATGACCACAATACACCAGAAGAGAGAAAAAGAGGAAAAAGAAGGAGAAAGAAAGAGAAAGAAGGAAAAAAGATACAGTTGGAAGAAGGAGCTCAGAAACAGAGCATCAAGCTGAAGAGAAACAAACAAGGAGAAAACAAAAAAACAAACAAAGAAGAGGACAGGGGAGACTAAAGAAAGTAACAGCAAACTACTGGACACTGACATCAGTAAGTTTTTGCATTTATTACTATAAAACAAGTCCCAACTGAAACACTCAAGCTAATAGCTAACAAGCTAACACTGGACTGTGGTTACCTAGCAACGGCATCAATAACAGCAGTAGTGCTGTTTTAAACACAAACACAGAACCTCGAAGATCAACAGCTGTATCATGATGTCTACACACTCTGAAACCATTGAATATCCCCCAGCTATCAAAAGCAAAACAGCAAAAGGAAAATATAAACAAACAATACTTTGAGAAAGACCAGAAATCCTATTCCTGGACCATTACAAAGATGGAAGGTCCTGCAATTTAATCTTCTGGACTGATGAACCATTCGCCTGGCTGAATGTGTTCAGATTGCATTACCCAGCAATAAAGAGAAGAGGTATTTGTAATGGATGGAAAATAAAGTGTACTCGAAGAGAATGACTCTGACACCACCAGAATAACAGTAAACCTGTTCAAAAATGGAACTGCCATGATACAAGGCGACCTGAGACAGTTTGAGCTTGACTTTCCTGCTATGAGACTGAGTGCTGAGAAGGAAAAGGAGATCCTCACAAGCATCGCTCCAGTCCTGGGAGCCAAACCCCCCTGTTCTGTCCCTGCTCCAGACAGCCTGCAGATGCTGACACTGATCTTCCCCTGCTACAGCACTCTGAGGCATCATGAGAGAACACTTCTCCCAGATGGAAATAGAACTGATTCAGATCAGAGAGCAGCTGGACCAACAGCAGTCTACTTCTCCTACTGTCATTGACTTCCAGGCCAAGAAAGAACAGAACAATGTCAACTCACAGCTGAGAGAGTTTCAACAAGAACAAGTTTGTCAGAGAAGACAGCTGGACCATCTCAGTGAGGAGGTGAAGGAACTTAAGGACAGAGACAACTGCAGAACTGAGTTGGCTACTCTGAGAGAAGAGCTACATGAGAGGGAGAGAACAGGGCTCAGTCCACAAGCCAGACTGAACTCCACACAACCCCCTGTGCTCACCTTTCAGACCTAGACCACATCCAGCCAAACTCCCACTACACCTGCTCAAGTACAACAGGGCCCTTTCCTCGAGGACTCACCCCCTCTCACCCAGCCTGGTGCAGACTCTAATCCCCCCCTTGTATCAACCCAGTTCTCTTCAATCTATATATCAATGAATTAGCGAACCAACTAGAGCGTTCCAAGGCACCTGGCCTCACCCTGAACGACACAGAGATCAGAGGTCTGCTATATGCAGATGACTTAGTGTTGCTTTCACCTACTAAAGAAGGTTTGAAGCAGCACCTTAATCTCCTGCAGAGATTTTGTCAGACCTGGGCCCTGACAGTAAACACAACAAAGACTAAGATAATGATCTTTCAGAAACAATACAGATATCAGGTTACACACAATTTCTATTTAGACACCACTAAATTACAACATACAAAAAACTACACTTATCTTGGCCTCAACATTACATACACAGGAAACCTCAACATGGCTGTGAAAGATCTGAGGGACAAAGCAAGGAGAGCTTTCTATGCAATAAAGAGAAACATTAAAATCTATATTCCAATCAAAATCTGGTTTAAAATTTTCCAATTTGTACTAGAACCAATAATTCTATATGGCAGCGAAATCTGGGGACCAAAACTAAATAATGAATTTGACAAATGGGACAAAACAATCATAGAATCTTTCCACACCAAGTTCTGTAAGAGCATCCTGCAGGTGCAGAGAAAAACACCAAATAATCTGTGCAGAGCAGAGCTCGGCCAATACCCCCTAAAAATAGTAGTATTGTTTTTTAATAAACACACACACACATTTTAATTTTAATATATTCTAATATTATATATATATATTATATTCAATAATTTGTTATTACTGTTATATTGACAACAGACTACTTGTTTTAACTGTAGTCTGTTACTTTACTACTGTTTTAATTGATTGTAATTAATTACTAATTAACTGAGATTGATTGATTGTGACTGTGATTGTGATTGAGTCAATCATAGTTAAAGTATTACCAAACTAGATTATAATTAATTTGTTGTAAATATTGTTTTCCTTTTGTTATTATTATTATTTTTAATTCCAAACGCTTGCTTTGGCAATATGTACAGTGTTACGTCATGCCAATAAAGCCATTTGAATTGAAAAATTGAAATTGAGTCAAGGTTTCTCCGACGGGTGATGATTGGTGTGGTAAACGGGGGGGGCCTGACCAAATACATGGTTGTTGCCCTGTGTGTCAATGATATCAGGTTCAATTCCTGTACGTCCATTCAGATCTCCAGTTAGAAGTACATTTCCCTGGGCCTGGAAATAAGAGGGAATGGAATTTTGTCAAAAATGTCCTCTTCAAAATAAGGAGAATCCACTGGGGGTATGTAAATTGCACAGAGGCATAGATCCCTATCGGTTAATGCCAAGGGTTTGATCTAACCTCAACCAAATGTGCAATTTACCCTGTTTTACTGGTGAGATCTGATTGCAAAGTTCTCCTTTATACCACACCAAAATCCCCCCCGATGTTCTGCCCTTGCGTATGTTTTTTAGTCTGTGATGGTCTCTGAAGCTTCTGGTACAATAGGAAGAGAGGGTGGAAGGGCTGCGTCCTAGGGCCGTGTCTTTGAGGGTCTTTGCAAAGATATTCACCTTCTCTCTGTGTAGATGGAGTCCATCGTAGAGGTCCCAGGTGCCAATGGTTGGATGGAGGGCCAGGTGGATGTTGGGGAAGGTGGCACAACCTCTTCTGATCTCCATATTGATGTCATGGATGACGTGAGGAGGGGTGTCTGTCCTAGGCAGGAGGGTGGAGATGTGGGGTGTTAGGGAATTCCTTGGTGGCCTGCTCCGCCATCTTCCTCACTGCCTCAGCAGTGTCCCTTCGGAGGTTGTGCAGGTTGTTTGTTCTTGTGTGGATCACCAGGCATTGAGGGCTCCCGAGGGTCTCCTTTCTCAACAGCTTCATTACCTGGCCTGTGGTGCTGCAACGTTTAGACAGCACCTTCTTAGAAGAAAAAAGCTTGTTGGTGTCCAGGAATTTCCCGTTTGAGTCAGCCAGCAGGACCACTTGTGGGGCTTGTTCTTCAGGCTGAGTGGAGGTTAGCTGGGATGGACAGAGTTGGCTGTTGGGAGCTGGCTGTGTAGGTGTTGGTAGGGTGCAGAACAGAGATGGTGGGACAGAGACAAGGCAGGGGTTTGGAAGACTAGCAGGGAGAGTCTGTGTCTCTGTCTCTGTAGTTGTCTTTGTGGGGACTGTTGAGAGTTGGTCTGTTAGGTGTCAGACTTGCCTGATGAAGTTCCTTTCTCTGTTCTCAGCGTCCTCCATCACGTTGGCTAACTGAGCCCAGAGCACACTGTTCTCCTGTTTTAGTGCCTCTACACTTCCTCTTAGCTCAGATGTGGAGGCCTGGTTGTCTGTCTTGAGCTGCTGGAGCTCCTCTTGAGGCTGCTGCACAATGTTGTCTAGGGGGGCAGACAGCCTGGCCTGGGTCAGCTCTTTGAATTCAGCAAAGTCCAGCTCCAGCAGGGCCATACTCTCCTTCAGCTGGTTGGTGGAGCTGGCAGGTGTGGGAGGGGCAGAGATGGACAAGGTGGTGGGGTTCTCTGTTGGGCTCTCATCATCTTCACTGTCACACGGAACATTGCACCTCATGGTGTCCACCTCAGCTGTGATCAGGGAGAAAACTTCTTCAAAGGATTTCAAGTTTGCATCGTCCCCCTGGACCATCACCTTTCCCTTTGTGTAGTAGGTGATGGTGAGCAGGGAGTCATCCTTGTTCATGTGTTTATCCTTACAAATCTTCACTCGGCCTCCTGAGCCGATGCCCTCACTGGAGATTTAAGGATATTTCTTGCACAGACTTTCCTTCCAGGTGTATATGGAGTCTGTGAAGAATATGAGGTTGTTCTTCTTCCTCACTTCTTTGTGTAGTGCGTAGTCTGTGAACAAGACTTTGTTCTCCTGAAGTGTCTTTTCCTTAAACTTCTCCCTGGCTGCTGCACTCTTACAGAGAGCAGGGTATTTAACCTCCCTGCTCTCTGTTCTCTGCTTGGCTGTTTCCACGGTGACCACTTTGTTTGTTTACTAGTGGGCTAACTCTTTACTGTTGCTAGCTTTTTTAGCCTTTAAACACAGTTATTAATGTTATGATTTTTGTTTTGTTCTTTTCTTCTCCTCCTTATCTTCATAAAACACCTCTTCTGTTATCTTATTTATTCCGGTTCCTCCTTAGAAATGTTACACTGTGGCAGGTGGTAGCTTACAGCAGTTGATACACAGTTGCCAGCTAGCTTTTGACAGTCAGCTGGTTGTTTTCATTTAAAAAATATATACAGAAATGGTATTTTCTTTCTTCTGTTTTGCTGATAAAGTATAGTAGTAAAATTTGATGGGTTTTTTTGCAAAATGTCCCACTGTTTAGATCCATGTTTGAGATGAATTCAGGAGCACATTTTTCATGCAGCCTTATCTCTTGGAACTCTCTCTCTCTCTCTCTCTCTCTCTCTCTCTCTCTATCTCTCTCTCTCTCTCTCCACCCCAACTGGTCGAGACAGACGACCACCCACCTAGAGCCGAAGGGTCTGTCCTAGGTTTCTGCCTTTTAACAGGCAGTTTTTCCTTGCCCTTGTCGCCAAGTGCTTGCTCATGGTGGTACTGTTGGGTCTCTGTAAATAATGTTATAAAGAGTTCGGTCTAGAACTGCTCTATTTGAAAAGTGTCCTGCGATAACTTTTGTTATGAATTATACAAATAAAATTGAATTGAATTGAATTGTTGACGGCAGCCGTTGACACAGTATTTAGAAATGTCCACCTGTGATCAGATCACCCAAGACACATTCTAGTAGCAGGTGTAAACAGACCCTTATACTCCTTATAAAAATATCCCAATAGTTCCCACCATGTGCAAGCAAACCTCTGAAAAACTACCAACACACATGCAGGCAACTGTTGCTGTCTCTTGGCCAAGTTGTTAAGTTGGTTATTAATAAAAAAGTTTTCTGTGTGGATATCAACTAAATAGCCTGTTGTGTATTATGTAGTGTTGCTCTCCGCTGTTTTGCCAGTCCTTCAATGGTCCTTTTGACATGAGGCTGTGTAGCAACAGTGTTTGCTTGTGTATGACGTGTGTGTGGTCTCACAAACAGAAAATAAAATAGTGTCATGTAGGGTCAATGTCATTAGCCACCCATTTTGCCTGACTAGTTGGGACCAGTGTTTTACTTAGCTGTGTTGCATCCATAACCTTCTCTGACAGACAAACCATTTCATAATTTTTTTATTTTACTTGATCATTGCATGCCTGTTCGCCTCTAGAATTTGCCTTCTGCGTATTAACTTGCTTGCGGCGTTTGACTCTGATAGCGCCTCTTTTTTCGTCACAAATTGTACAATGCCATGCATTCAATTTGGACAGCTCTTATACTCCAACATGTGACAAATTCAAGCTTTATGTGTCTTTTTCAACAGTATAATGAATTCTCCAGCAATAAGGCTCTGTTGTGAGCCTGATGAATACGGTTCCCCTGGGGCATGACAAGATCTTGGCAAGAGTTGCATATCTATCTTTGTTTTAGGATGTAAACCATTAATGGCGGCCTTAACTGTTTGAAATGTTGTTTTGATCTGTGGCAGACATGGAAGTTACATTTTTATGACATTCAAATTCAAAAAACGAATTATTGGGAGTTGTTGGGATGAAAATTCCTAAGTGTACTTCTAGAAATCATCCCACCATACTATTTTGTCCAGAAAGACAAATTAAGCCTTCCTTCCATCATCATAAAATGAGCACAAGATAGGTGCAAAACATGCGCCCGTGTCTGTGCCCATCTCACACAGGAAAATGATTACTAACTCATTAACACCAAATTTTAACTGTTACCACTAATGTTCTATATAAAGACACCACATCCATTATTACTCTAATACATTAACCAGTAATTGAAATACCTCAGTTTCTCTAACACAAATTTTCCGGGACCTTTTGTGAGAGTCCACTGCAGCTTTTACTGTCACAAGAATGCATGTTACTAACTTCACTTCTTCCCCGGAGTTCTTGTGCTTTCTCGTCTCACAGGTTCTTATCGATCCTGGTGGAGCCTCCTGCCATGGTCCTGCTAGATTGCCATTGCCAATACTGTTGTTACTGTGCACCTGTCTCTGTAAATAATGTTATAAAGAGTTCGGTCTAGACCTGCTCTATTTGAAAAGTGTCCAGAGATAACTTCTGCTCAACGCTCCAAACTCAGATCAAACTGTCAAACTAGGCAGTGCTGATCAAATATAAATCCAGATTCTGTTTCTGCATTGACTATTTTTCACTTAAAATCGTTTCAGAAACATATTTTAGTGTACTGTTCAGCTGGAATACGAGATTGTGTGTGACCAGGCTACGGACGAGTCAAAACTTCACAGCCAATGAGCGTAGATCAACTCGCAGTACGTCATGTCGGCTGGCTAGCGCTGGCTTGCGTCTAACTGAGTTAATTTGAATTAAAATCCATCTAGAATGGGCACTGGCCTGGCTTCCAAAACTCAATGGCAATAACATTATTCTGTTTTCTGTCATGACTTTGACTTTGTCACTCTCATTTGGACTCAGTCTTGACTTTGGACTCAGTCTTGACTTTGGACTTGGTACAGCTCTGTGACCAAATGCTTTGCAAGGTACAAACAGGAATCATTAAGAAGTGTCAATCCTAAAAACACTTCATAGAATAAACAATAAAACATTTACAAAATGGAACAAGGAGGATAAAGAAATAAAACAATGAAAGAAATGTGGAGTGTGGAAAAGGTAAGAAATGCAATCACAGAAAGGCTAGACTATAAAAGTGTGTTTTAAGAACAGTCTTCAATGAAGACATAGACTTGCCCATCCCAATCTTCTCTGTATGGTTGTTCCAAAGTCGGGGAGTCCTGATGGCAAACCTAGTCAGGATTTAGGAATCACCAGGAGGACAGTATCTGAGGACCTCAAGGCCCAAGATGGCACGTGGGCTCTTAACAAGGTCAGAAACATAGCTTGTGACAAAACTATTCCAGGCAATGGCGTAAATATCGACGGTGCAACCGGTGCACCTGCACCGGGGCCTAGACGCCGTCAGGAGCCCATGAAGGAAGGGATAAAAAGGATCTGTCCAGCAGCTGTATTGTTTTTGTGAATGAAATTGCTCGGGTCGGGTCGGTAAGGTAGGCTAACGCTGAGTGGCTGGTATGGGAGGAGGAAATGATCATTTGTCCAATCACCTTGATAGCTGTCAGTCATGATGAGTTGCGATGACGTGACGTGAGTTGTTTCTCCTTTCAGCGGGAAAAAAAAGCAAGTGGATGAAAGTTGACTAGAAAAGGTATCATGCTGAGCAAGCCTAAACAAAAATGTGGCGCGCAAAAGAGGAAGGAAAGAAAGAAGCAGGATGAGGGAAAAACTAAAATGGCCAAATTAGATATGTTTTTTACTCAGACCCAGGCAAAAGCCAGAGTCCCACCGGAGGCTAGCGGTAGCTTGCCAGCTAGCTCCATAAATTAAGCGGCATTGACCCTACCGCCGCGTCCCGCCTCTCCGGTTGGGTCGAAGGACACTTCTCTGCCACCGCAGCCTCAGAGGTCGGACTCGGCGGACTCGGCTGTGCCCACCAGTGGACCTGTTGCAGGGTTTATTCTGCCCACAGATCGAAGACTCTACATTACTCTGCCTCCCGACGCCAAGACAAAAAGCTATATAATAGCAACTGGTTCATGTAGGCCTACTGGATCATTCCCCAGAGACAAAAGGCAAGGAAACAGGTGTTTCTCCAACACATACTACACCACCACTACCATCGCAGGTATCAAACTCCCGCGACCATGGCTGTGCTGTTTGCCCAAACTGGACTGTGCCTAACCTGGGGGCACAAAAAAAATGTTTGCACCGGGGCCTATCACCATGATGTTACGCTACTGATTCCAGGCAAATGGTTTCTGCATCCTGGAGAATAGAGTAGTTTACAGGCTGTGGGGGAAAGGTCATTAAGTGGGTCACTTTATTTCATGAAAACAATAAAGGGAGATGGTCCAAATAGTCAGGTCATGTGAATTAATGCAAACATTGAAAAATGTGTCAAAATCCAAAATAGCAGTTATTTTTTTCAGGTTTATTATATTTTTAGTGGACAATTTGGAGACAATATTGTTTCTTAGGTATGATTAAAATTAAATCTGTCTGTATCCTAATAAGGATGTCAAATAGGTCTGTTGTGCTTCTTTTGTGACTCTCAACAGGTTTAGTTTATGGGAAGGGTTAGCTTGATGTTATTGAGCCCTTCACACCCTCTCAATGAGAATTTTTTCCCCCAAAAAATACAGGCGCTGTATTTCCTTTAATAGTATTAATTTGCATGCCAAAAGGGTCATAAATGTCATCATATTATATTAAGAACTGGTTAGCAGAAGATTAGATCCTTTGACTTCAAAGAGAGTCAGTGGCTTATGATCAACCGGTCTTCACAAGATGTTTGATAGCGACTGAAAGATATTTTTCCAATATGTATTCATTGACAGTGGCAGAACATCTGGGCTGGAATAGCAGTTGATTGTCCAAAAGGGCCCTGTGTTGGATTTATATTTGCGTACATTTTGCACAACTTTTTCTTCAGTAGGTGTAGCAGGTGTGAAGTCCATGTATTAAGCAGACTGAAGAGGAATGTATACTAGTGCCTGAGCTTTTGTACATTGTTCTTCTGTGATAACTTCTCCTAGATCCTTTACCCACACTATTTTAAGATAGTCCAAAGAGGCAGTACATTGTAAATAATGGAAGTGCTGCCTTTTAATTAGAGTCATCAATTTATGAATTTCCTCAAGACAGTTGATAAGTGGCAGTTTATCATTTAAGTTATTGGGATCACAGCTGAGGTAACCCTGGGTATTGTCTGCATAAAAATGGAAACTGATGTGTAATCTTTGATGTGAGATGTCCTAATGGCGGCATGTAAAGGGAGAACAGAATCAGACCAAGCACCAAGCCATGAGGGACTACTAAAATGGATATCAACAGATAAAAGCAAGTAGTTCATGACCTTAAGAAGGGCAGTCTGAGAAAGACTTTATGAGACAAGTGGGAGTTGCAAATGTCATACATTTTGTAATCCTGCACATTTGGGCTTTAACAAAAAAATCTTTTCATTTCAGGCTTTTTGTAATCTTTACATGAATCTGGGGAAGTACCAGAAATAGACAAATCGCCATTACTGCAGTGGGATCTCCCTACAATAAACACGTTTGAATGCAATTCTATGTGACATTACTTGACAACGATGTCTTGGAAATCAGGAAGGCTCTCTGCAGTTATCAGCTGCTTCAACAGTAGTGGCAAACATTCATTTTGGAAAAAGAACTGGGTGTAACTGGTCTTGAATGCATGAATGATTGAATGCAACTCTTGACTGGCGTCCGACAATTTTCATAACTTTCTGAAACAACAACACAAAACAACAATCCAACATTTGCACCCACTTAATGCAGTGATGTTGTGCAAAGCTTAAATTGGACCAAAAAAGTTGCCAGTACCCTAATGTAGCACAACCCTAACCCTAAATCTTTTACCGTTTTTAATCCTTTTTGTTTGTTTGTTTTTTATTGGTGATATACATTATACATTGGTGACAAGTGATTACTGTGAGACATTAAACTGAATACACAAAACATGAAATAATTACAACATTGTGAACAGTAAGGGTGGGCTTAACAGTATGGGCATGAGTGTCTGTGGGGTTATGGAGAAGAGTTACTAAGTAGAAATAATTACATAATTAAAAGGGGAAAGGAGATATATATTATACATTATAATATTATAATTAAAATGCCAATAATTGTATCATGTATTATTAGGTTTTTATGTTTAATTCCTCTCGATTTTACTTTATCTTTAAATAATTTTGGTGGTCGGGGGACTATGGAAGCCATAGGGATTCTTTAAGTCATTATAATGAGATACTTTCTCAATATTTTGACTTAGTATTTCAATATAATGAGAAGCCT